CTGTCAAAGCACCAGGAGGACCTGGTAGCCAACCAGCCTGTGACAAGATGCTTGCTATCACTAGGGATTAAGAAGACACAAAATACAACTCATCCATGCCTCACAGACTTACATGTGGATTTTTTTTTTTAAAAACATCACAAATCAGACTTACAACCAGAGATTGGCAATACCTGTAAGAGTGAACTGTCAAAGCACCAGGAGGACCTGGTAGCCAACCAGCCTGTGACAAGATGCTTGCTATCACTAGGGATTAAGAAGACACAAAATACAACTCATCCATGAGTTGTCAAAACACAAGGCAGCACAGGAGTGCTGGTGAGGATGAATGCACCCCAAGTCTGAACCACGCTGCCCGGTAGCCTAAGTCCTGTCCCCACAGGCCTCACGGCCCTGGTCCACAGCAACACTGCTGGAACAGCCCCGAGGGAAGGAGCTGTGGGCAGAATGGACAAGTGTGCCCCACAGTGGGAGTGAGGACAAAGGGACAGATGCATCCCACTCAGATAACATCTAAGGAAGCCAGTACACCCTGCATTACAAAGCACCTGCAGAAATGAGCACAGCCCCTCAGGGAGACACCCGGGTGGCCATCCTGAATAAAGGAGCTGGGTGTATGACCAGCCGAGGCTGGCATGGGCTGCTGAGGGACCAGGGTGGGTGGGTGGGGGTGGGGAAAGTGTCCTCTTCAGTGGCCAAGCATTATGTCATGTGTGCTCCTCTGAACTTAATACATTTTATATTTTTTTTTTGAGGCAGGGTCTTGCTCTGTATCCCAGACTGCCTCAAACTCATTATCCTCCTATGTCAGCCTCCTGAGTGCTGGGATTACAGGCACGCACCACTGCATGGCTCATACTCTTTTTAGATCAGCAAGCAGAAATAGAAGGGAATGTTGTTTATTCTGTCAAAGATACCTACCAAAAAAAACTAAAGAAATCATTATCCTTACTAATACGTACATTCACTGTTATTTTTATTTAGTATTGTACAGGAGGATCTAGCCAGTACAAATAAATGCGTATATGTTTGTATGTGTGTGTATATATATGTAAAATATATAAAAGAATGAAGTGTGTAAGATTATACAAGCAGAGTTTAAATTGACATGATTAAATATGACTGTATACATTAAAAAATCCAGAAGATTCCAGAATTAGGTGAATTAGCAAGTCAGTAGATATGGAAGCACTATACAAAAATTACCTTCTTCTATATGGTAGCAAGAAAATATTAGAATATGGAAATTTTTTCAGTACTCTTTTTAGTAGCACCAAAAGTTACCACATACCTAGGGGAAGAGTTAAAGGGAAATTAAAGATGGAAATAAGTATATTCATAGTTTGGAAACTCAATCTTACAAAGATGACAGTTCTTCCCCAATTGATCTATAAATTCCATGCAATCTCACACAAAACCCCAACAAGTTATTTTTAAGGAAACCACGAGCAGGAAATGCAGAAAACGAGAATAGCCAAGCCAGTCATTAAGAAAAACAAAACTCGAGAACTTTTACTACCAGACCCTAAGATCTATTATAAAGCTACAATAAATTTAAGACAGTGCTATTCACCAAACACCTAGATCTCAGCTTTTGAATATTGTTCTCCAGTAAAAGGTATCAAAGTTCCTTGAAAGGAGTAGTTAATCCCAGGGCTGGGACCCAGAAAATACAAAATGAGCCTGCAACATCTTTTTTTTTTTTTTTCTGCTGGAAGTGATTTTATTTTTTTTTTCATTTTTCTTTTATTATTCATATGTGCATACAAGGCTTGGTTCATTTCTCCCCCCTGCCCCCACCCCCTCCCTTACCACCCACTCCACCCCCTCCCTCTCCCCCCCCCTCAATACCCAGCAGAAACTATTTTGCCCTTATTTCTAATTTTGTTGTAGAGAGAGTATAAGCAGTAATAGGAAGGAACAAGGGTTTTTGCTGGTTGAGATAAGGATAGCTATACAGGGCATTGACTCACATTGATTTCCTGTGCGTGGGTGTTACCTTCTAGGTTAATTCTTTTTGATCTAACCTTTTCTCTAGTACCTGTTCCCCTTTTCCTATTGGCCTCAGTTGCTTTAAGGTATCTGCTTTAGTTTCTCTGCGTTAAGGGCAACAAATGCTAGCTAGTTTTTTAGGTGTTTTACTTATCCTCACCCCTTCCTTTTGTGCTCTCGCTTTTATCATGTGCTCATAGTCTGCAACATCTTTTGATGCCAGGAAGTAAAGAAATGCATGGAAAAGGATAGGACATGTTTGAAAGGCCACAGGTGTCAACCTGAAGGGTCTCCTAAAGGCCAAGCCTAAAACAATTTGAGCAACAAATGGTGATCATACTGAACTCTAACCCACAGACAAATAGCCATGAGCCCACACTGATAGAAGTAAGTGATTGTGTAAATAAATGAAGAATGAACAAGTAACCTGTCCTATGGAAAGCTAATAATAAATATACAAGGAATTAGGAAACTACAAGACTGTGGTTGAGCAGGCACTACTGTAATTGTCACAAGATGGTGCTAATATTAGTGGGCAAATGCTTGAGGAATAGAATACAAACCTAACTTCAGCATACCTCCCCTAAAACATGTGTTACTTACAAAGGACATGAGTAGCTTTACAAAGAGCCCTGCAGACACTACTTGAACCAGCTGATCAGAGTTAATGTGTTAGAAGTTTGAAAGACCAGGAAAATGTCACACATTATAGAAGGCTAAGGAGACATAACCAGATGGAAGATGAAATCTTGAGTTGAATTATGAAATAGGAAAGGACATGAGTGAAAAAAACTGGTGAAATTCAAATAAGGTCTATAATAGTATATCAGTGTTACAACAATATTAATAATTTATTAATGTTAATTGACTAGTTTTGATGATTGTACTATGATTCTATAAAATGTGAATGTTGCAGAAGCTGATAGAAAAGTGTATGTGAGCTGGGCATGGTAGTGTATTTTCATTACCCCAGCACTTAGGAGGCGGAGGCATCAGAATCTCAAACTCAAGGCCAGTTTAGGCTACATAGCAAGACACTGGCAAAACAAAATGAAAAGCATATATGAAATATGAACACTATTTTGTGACTTTTCTATAAGTATAGTTATTTCAAAATAAAAGAGTTTGGGGGGAGTTGTTTGTTTCACAACCAATCAGTTGAACTCCTGGCTTCCTGCTTGCTGGTCAAGTGCTGTACCACTTGAGCATGCCCCTGGTAAAAGTTTTTGTTTGTTTTGTTTTTATGTAGCAAAGTATTGACACAAGGTCTATTGGTTTCTTAGAGCTGCTGTAACAAGTACCACAAACTAGATGACTTAAAACAACAGAAAATTCATATGTCACAGTTCTGAAGGCTGGAAATTCGAAATCAAAATGTTGGCAGGTCCATGTTCCTTCTGAAAGCTCCAGAAAAGGAGCTTTCCCTGCCTCTTCCTAGCTTCTGGTGATTGCCAGCAATCTTTGGCACTCCTTGGCTGTGGTTGCTGACTCAGTTTCTGCCTCTGTAATCACATGGCCTTCTGTCCTATCTCTGCCCTCTCCTCTTCATCTGAGAACCAGTCACATTGGATTTAGAGTCCAGCCTAATCATCATATGACCTCCTCTTAATTTATTAATAATCTGAAAAGATTATATTTCCAAATAAGATTACATGCCAAGGTTCTAGCTGGACATGAATTTTTTGAGGGACTCTGTTCAAACTATTTTACAGAGATACAGAGATAAGCAAATAGACCAATGGAACAGAACAGAAACTCTAGAAACAAACCCACATATTGGATGCATATGATCTTTTTTTCTTTTCTTTTTTTTTTTTTTTTTTTTTGCTAGTGGAAAGCGGGAGAGCTTATTGAGATAGAAAAGTGTAAAGCAGGAGAGTAGATTTCCCCAGAGTTGTTGGAGGAGTCCCAAGAGAGGATGCCCCTGATTTTTAACAGACATTCCACTCCAGTGAAGTGGGGAGAGTCTTTTCAATAAAGGATGGTGAGGCAAGTGAAAGTCTGTATGCAGATAAAAAGAATCTAGACTCCTACCTCACAGCATACATAAAGTTTCAGATGGATCACAGACTTAATGCCATAGATAAAGTAACAAATTATTTTCACAACACCCTCAGGAGAATATCTTCATAATCTTGGGCTAGGAAGAGATTTCTTTAACTGGATACAAAAGAACTGACCTAATTGGAGAATATTGATAAACTGGACTACATTTAAATTTAAAGATCTTTAAAACTGAACCTACCAAGCAGGGACAAAGATACAGAACTCGAATACTCACGAATTACCACAGGAGTAGAAACTGGTACAAGCACTTTGTACCAGCAATTCTACTCCTAGTTTTATCCTCGTCAGAAATGAATCTGTGTCCACTCAAAGACATATGGAAGAATTTGTGTAGCACCTATATTCAATAGTAGAATTGATAAGTTGTATTATTTTCATTCAGTAAAATACTGTCAGTCAGAAAGGCAGAATTGCTACAACATGGATGAATCTCCCAAGGGATTGTAGACTGAAAGAAGCTAGACACAGAGTAGATACCAAATGATCCTTTTATATGAAGTCTAAATAGTTACTCTACAGTGATAGAAGTCATGATATGGGTTACTCTAGGGAGCAGATATTGATTGATTGATTTCAGAGGCTTCAGGGGTGCTGGAAATGTACTATATCTTGATATGGAGATAATTACAACAGAAAATACATTTTATAAATTTTTGAGCTATGGACTTAAAGTTTTTGTACTTTATTGGATGTGTATTTTACTTAAATATTCAAATTAAGAAAAATGTGATATATTAGCTATTAAAACAAGTAGACTTTCATTAACATAGAATTGTCATTGTCATTAAAATATATGTTGTATTGAGACTTTGTTTTAATGAGATTTCACTAGGCCTTACATTTAGGTGACACTTCATGATTCACTAGGTACTTACTCACAACGTGGTAAGAGAGATGTCATTTGGGAAATGTCCATATTACATATCATTTCTGTCTTTTAGGCTAAGACATCAAGCACACAAAGAATTTTATGCCTACAAACAGGTAAGAAATTTAATTCCAATTAGCTGGGATCATATTTTTCCCCAAAAATAAACCTTTGGGGACTAAGATTTCCACTTGTATGTTAAACTGAAACTAAATTTGCTTATATGTTCATTCACAGAACAAAATAGATCAACTTCATTTTCTCACATATCCTTTTTTCATTAGCATTATTTGAAACTATAGAAAGTTCAGATGATATAATAAGAGGACTTGAGCCAACAGTTCATTAAAGAAAAATGCTGTAGCTTGTAATCTTTAACTTATCATTAACTTGATAGAATTCAGAGATTTCATTCAGTAAATCTTTCCCTCCTCCACTAAACATAAAGCAGTTCCTCAAAGATGACCAACTGTACTACACTGATCTCATCTACTCCTCTTTTCACTTTTTTCCCTATTTCGTACTTTAAATGTTAGCTTAGATCACACATTAAAAGTCTACAAACTTGGACCATAGTTGTGAACCCTTTACTAGCCCTTCATTCGTTTGTCCTTTAATAAACCCAGCTTTTCTTTTTGTTTGGCTGTACTAGGGTTTGAACTCAGGGCCTCACGCTTGCTAGGCAGGTGCTCTATCACTTGAGCCACTCTGCCAGCCCTTTTTTGTGTGTGTTGGGTATTTTAGAGATAGGGTCTCAAGAATCATTTTCCTGGTCTGGCTTCAAACCGTGATGCTCCTGATCTCTGCCTCCTGAGTAGCTAGAATTACAGGCATGAGCCACCAGCACCTGGCTAAACTGAGATTTTCTTTCTTTATTGTTTTTTTTTAAATCCCCTGAAGGGGTGCACCATTTCTGGAGGTACTGCAATACTAGGTCGAAGCATGGAGTGCTTCCATCTCCCAAAAATCCATTTAATATATTGTTCTCAGATAGAGGATGTATCAGATATTAAACTGATAAGAACAGATACTACACGTGATCTTAGCCAAAAGGCTGAGAAGCAATTAAACTCACCTTTTCTTGAAAGCCGAGTAAAAGTAGTTTTTTTCTTCCTTGTGTCATCCATTAACATTTACCACTAACACCAGATAGTGGACCTATGTTTTACTTATTTTTGCTTTTGTCCTAAGTCTGAAATTTTTTTTGTCCTTAGCTTTTTATTATATGTATTTTTGAGGTGGGAGGGAAGGCAGCTTCAGCTTATTTCCTCTTTAACCTTGTTGACACTGATGTTGACCATTTTGCCACTTTAGGATTATGTATCTTTCTGTCTACCTTTTTTGTCCATGTGTGTCTGAACTCTGAGCTGATTGGCATGTTCCCTAGATGTACACACCAGTGTCCTTGATTACCCCAAGCTCTTCCCCAAAGGGCTCACTGGAACTCATAATTACCATCGAATGTTTTAATTTTCTAAACAAATGAATCCTTTAATCACACTTCAGTCATAGTCTTGACACCCTACAAAGATGTTTGCATATAGGCTCATTGGAAAGTAAAATTAGCCTTTGTGGTCACTTCCTAGGTAACTTGATTGATGAAACTGATCAGGTGAGACAGATGGTAAACTTGATCTTTAAGTGGGGAATTTAGTACATCAGTATGTAGCTAGATGGTAGCTTCTGTTTGTGATTTCTGAAAAAGTGATTTGTCTTCAAAACCATTTTTGATTCAAGAATGTAAGACACCCAAATTTTAGAGATTTTCCCAAAATTTTACTTGCCTGCTTTTTGACTTTTAAGATAAAACATAACTTTGTTAAGCTAAGTTTATTCTCAGAAAAAAATTTTTTAATAGAATTCTGCCTTCTTATCGTTTTACATTTACTTTAACTGACCTGCTCACCATAGAGCAGGTATGTTAAAGGATAAACCTGGATGAATAGAACTAAAGTTTACTGAGGGCATTGATATATAATGATAAGCATCAAAATTAAGATCTACTTTACATTTTAATCTTTTATACTTTACTTATCAATCTCATCAGCCAGTGCTGCTTTACTAAATTAGTAAGGCAACCAATCTCCTTTAATCTTGTTACTTAGTCTTAGATTGACATGTGTTAATATCTTTTTCCAAGAGTTAATCTACTCTCAAAGAGATTTTAGAAGTGCTTTTTCAGGGCTGAAGGTATGGCTCAAGCAGTGGAGTACTTGCTTCGTAAGCAAAAAGCCCTGAGTTCAAACCCCAATACCACAAAAAAAAAGTGCTTTTTCAGAATATTGCATCATTGCCCAAGATAAAAGAATATTGTTAAAATGTTCTGTAAAAGAGATGGATTGTCTCCAGTATTGAGATCATATATACATACCAGTTATACACACACACACAGAATAAGAATTGTTTCAAGTTACAGATTTAAAAGGGCGTAAGAGCATAATTTTTTCTCTTACAGGTGATATTAAAAGAGAAAGTAAAAGAACTGAATCTACACGAGGTAAGTTGCTTATAAGTATTGTAATCTTGAATCATTTTCTAATATAAAATGGTATGCAGTGGTATGCTTAAATACCTTTATTCACAGAGTCGAAAAAATTAGCCTATTTTGATCAGCTTAATAGACTATTTTAGGGTAAAGTCATGTAAAAATCTACTGTGTAAGAGTTTTAAGACAGTAACATAGCTCATGTTTTTAATAGGAATGTGCCAATGTAAGATTCGTAACAGCAGGGATCCTGTTTTCTGTCCACACTATATGAAAAGGAGATAGACATAAATTACTTTTTCTGCTCAAGATGAGTTTGCACTAATTTCACCCTTAAATGTTCTCAGTATTGCCTTCTTACCAATGGCACAAAAATAGGCAGCAGTTATTTTCATGGGGGGGGTAGGGATTGAAGAAATGAGGTAGAGGGATGGAACCGGAGGTAGGAACCCTAGGAATGGTCTAACTCTTCAGCTATGGGGTTTGCGTGGTGACTCAAACATAAACCTGAGTGTGTATATTCTCCTCTCTACTTACTTTCTACTTATAGACACATAGTGTGTAAGAGCTTTCTTGGGGGGAAAAGGGGTACACATGCTAATAGGCTCAGTGCTCTACCACTGAGCTATATCACCAGTCTTTTTTTTTTTTTTTTGGTAGTATTGTGGTTTATACGCAGGGCCTCATGCTTGCTAGCAGGAACATTACCGCTTGAGCCACTCCACCAGCCCAAGAATTTTTCTTAATGTTATCTAACTATAAATGTACAGGATTTTTATTTTGATTGCCTTTTCTTTCTCTTTCTGCCTCTCTGAGTTTTTGAATTGGTGTTTAATGCAAGGATTTGGAAAGCCATATAAGTAGTAAGTGTGTTTTGTAAGTCTAACTGTGCTGAGGCTATATTGTCAGTTTCTGCAAAGAAAATTTTTTTTAATTTGTGACACTCTTTGAATAGTAAAATATTTATATTATTGTTAAACACTTAGAAATCATCTGCTACTCCTTTGGTGCTTCTGCGTATTTTCATCAGAGTTGACAGGTTCCTGTTTAATAGCACTTAATCTTAGATTAAACTCAAGCATTAATTACTGTCTGATTTTTAATTTTTCCTAAGAGTTAATTTTGACAAATAGCCAAAATTAACATGAAATAACAGAAGGTATCTATTTCTAATTGAAGTCTTTTTGATAAACACAAATGAAAAGATTAAACTCTGATGTACATTAACAGTGTTGGGGGGAGGGCAGGCATGGTGATACATGCTTATAATTCCAGCTTCTCAGGAGGCAAAGATTGAAAGGATTGTGGTTTGAAGCCAGCAGGCAAAAAAGTTAATGAGACCCCATATCAATCAATAAGTTAGGCAGAGTGGTATATATCTGTAATCCTAGCTACAAAGGAGGCAGTTAAGAGGATCATGATATGAGGCCAGCTCTGGGCAAAAACACAACACCCTATCTGAAAAATAACTAAAACAAAAGGGTTGTGGTTGTGGCTCAAGTGGTAGAGTGTCTGGCTAGCAAGCATGAGACCCTGAGTTCAAACACCAGTACTGCCAAAATTAATACTAACAGCCTTGTCAGGAACAGCAGCCTTTTCTTATTGGTTTGGCCATTACTTTAGAAACATTTTCATGAACAAGCACATGCATTGCATCATTAATATCAGTGAGTGTCCCAACTTCAGCTATCAATTCCAGTTTTTCTGAATTTGGCCATTTCTATTAGTCTTTTTGGTTTGTTTACTGCAGCATCCCTAGCTGTGGTTATGGTGGTCTTTGGCATCTTTGTCAAAAATGAAAATTTTATGGTTCTATTTCTATATTCCCTCTTCTGTTCCCTGATCTATGTGCCTGTACCTTCATCATTACCACACAGTCTCCATTACTGTAGCTTTACAGTAAGTCTTAAAATCAAATAGTGTGATTCCTCCAACTTCATTCTTCTTTTCCAAAATTGTTTTCATTGTCTTAGTCTGTTTCCTCTTGCTATAACAAAATACCTGAGGCTGAGTAATTTGCAAAGAGGTTGATTTGGAGTTACAGTACTGGAAGTAAGTCTAGGTTTATGATGCTGGCATCTGCTTGGCACAAGCACAGACAGGAAGGGACACATACAGAAAAGAGGTCACATGGTGAGAGAGAGACAAGGGGAAGCTGGCTGGCTTTACTACAGTTGACTTTCATGGTAACTATTCACAGTAGCCAAAAAGTAAAAACAACCCAAGTAGCCATCAGCAGATGAATAGATAAATAAAATGTTAGTATATCTGTACAAGGGAATATTATTTAGTTATAGAAATGAGTAAAGCCAGGCATCGTGGCACATGCCTGTAATCCCAGTACTCAGGAGGCAGAGGCAGGAATATCATGAGTTCGAGGCCAGCCTAGTGCTACATTATCAAGAACCTGTCTCAAAAAAAGAAAAAATGAAGTACTGATACGTGCTACAGCAAGGAGGAACCTTGAAGACACTATACTAGGGAAAAGAAGCCAGACACAAAACACCAGATATTGTATGATTCCACTTGTATGGAATGTCCAGAATAAAGAAAGTAGGTTAGTGGTTGGTTGCCAAGAATTGAGGAAAAGAGAGGATGAGGAGTGGCTGCTTTATGAAGCAGATGTGCTGAAATTAGTAGCAATAGATTGTCATTGCATGACTGTGAATGTATTTTAAAATATTTACAAAAATGTATTTAAATATTTACTTAAAGTGATAAGTCCTATGGTATGTGAATTATATCTCCATTTTTCAAATGGTGATGGGGAGCCACATTGGAGAAAGGATCTGCCATTGAAATACTAGAAAGTAAAGTTCATTTGCAAAATGTGATCCATAAAGGAAAGTTGTAAAATGATTTGGCTCTCAGAAAACTTTTAAGATGGCAGATCTGAGGCTTTTGTTTTTTTGTGATTGCCCTTAATTTTTGGTCACTTTTAGCACTTAACATGTCTGAATTTATCTTGTGTGTGTGGTTTTTTTCCTTTTCTCGGGCTCTATGGTTTTAGAATTGGCTTATTTAGAACATAATAGCACATTATAACCATTACTACAAACTATATTTTGGGAAGGCTACAAATCTGATTTTGAATCCTGAAAAGAGAAGTGATTAGAAATAAGCAACGTGTCCACATTGCACTTTGGTAGGGTCAGTGGTAAACCTCCACAGAGCACTCCTACCCATTTCGAAGCTAGGCTGAGGGAAGCTGACTTTTGAAGGCCACAGCTTCTGTCCACATCATGTAGGAGGCAGGAACATCGTCCCCTTTATGATGGGAAGCTGAGGCTCAAAGAGATACCCCAAGACTGAAACTGCTGGTTTCTTATCTTTGTCCACAGCTCATTCTCGACTTGCATCTAGAAAACAAAACTGGGCTTGAATTAGTGGTCCAATCACAAAATTTAAACATTCATAGACAACTCATACTAGTAGAGTGCCTTACTGCCTCCTTTCAACCTGATTTGATGACAGTCCTGTGAAGAGCTGGGCAGATAGTATCCTCATTCTACAGATGAAGAGCAATGCTAGCTGCACACCGATGACTCACGCCTATAATCCTAGATACTCAGTAGGTAGAGATCAGGAGAATTGTGGGTCGAAGCCAGCCCCAGGCAAATAGTTCGTGAGACCCTATCTCAAAATACCGAGCACAAGGGCTGGGGGTCGTGGCTCAAGGGATAGAGCACCTGCCTAGCCAGCGTGAGGCCCTGAGTTCAAACTCCAGTACCACAAAAAAAAAAAAAATACCCAGCACAAAAAAAGACTGGCAGTGTGGCCCAAATGGTAGAGCTGCCTGCCTTGCAAGCATGAAGCCAGTACCATCACCAAAAAAAATAAAACAATGTTCTGAGGGATGTCGTGAGGACAGAGAGTACTCAACTAGTGGATGTCTAAGCCCAGGCATGCCACCAGTCCTGCTCTTCTTCTTTCCTGCAGTTCTTGTGGGAATACTGAGTCTGACAGGACACAGTTGTCCATTGTTCTCCTGGGAAGATCCTGTCTGCTGTACACACAAAGCCCCAAGTGCTGCCTCAACACAGGTATCCAAAGACTACGGTTCATGGCACTGACCATGAGCACATAACCCAGGAAGACTGGGTTGCATATTATAGGTTAAGAAGCTTGTTAGTGAAGCCAGGTCAGTAATTGAAACAAGAAATGATAGCCTGAGCCAGGACCCCTGAGGATGGGCACGGAAATAAGCAGAGAAGAGTATAGCCATTGGGAAGGAGACAGAACTAGTACAGCAGCCCCTCAATGCAATAGACTAGGGTCCACAGCCAGACCTGGCCACTTCCTGATCCATCAGGCCTGACTACTTCCCAACATGGTTCTTGCCCTAGGGACTATACATAGCATGTTACTGCATGTTGGGCAGGGATTGCCCAGGGTGTGAGCAGACCCTTCAGGGAGTGCTGGGAGCCAGGGCTGCACTGTGAGCAAGCAGAGCATCCCCTGGGGAAAATCAGCCCTTGAGTATACAGAAAGGGAAAGAAGCCTGCATGAATGAGTAACCCGGGCACACTCCTGGCATGCACTGCAGTAAAGGAAGCTGCTGCTTACTTTTCATCTCTCCACATATGACAGGAAGAGCATAAGACTTTTTTTTAAAAAAAACATGAAAGGGGGAATTGATTGGTTTAAAATTTTGAAAAATCAGAGGTACAATGACTTCAGGAGTATCTGGAGCCACAGGCTCACACATTGTCATTCTGAACTTGGTCCTGTCTCTTTTAGTCCTTCTTTCCTCTGGATCATCTTCATTTCCAGGCAGGTTGTCTCCTTGGTAGCAGGATGACCAACAGCAATTTAAACTCCATTTTTCCCAGCTCACTAACCCTCCAAGATGAAACTTGAGGGCTTTTAGAGGACTGGTCCGTGTCAGCCTGTTCCTCTCCCTTAAGGAGTTGTGAGATACTGTAAGACCCTCCAGATGGATAGGCCAGAAGTCTGTATTCCACTTTGTGACCTGGGCAAGTACCTACCAGACATGGCCTCATTTGTAACTCTGCCTTTCAGCTGTGTGCAGTATGTCTGGAAGACTTCAAGCCTCGAGATGAGTTGGGGATTTGTCCATGTAAGCATGCCTTCCACAGAAAGTGAGTATTGGTGTGGAATTTTGTGGGGGGGGGTGCAGGCAGAGGGGAGATAGCATCTCATTGTGTGGCCTAAAACTGTGTAGCCTAGACTGACCTTGAACTCTTTTTAAATTTTTTTAAAGGTAAACATGGCAGCTTGCACTTTCTTTTTCTTTTCTTTGTTTTTTGGGGGGTGTTGGGGGACATTACTGAGGTTTGAATTGAGGGCCTTCCACTTACCAGGCAGGTGTTCTACCACTGGAGGCATCCCTCCAGCCTGGCCTTGAACTCTTGATCCTCCTGCCTCAGCCTCCCCAGTTCTGGGATTACAGGTGTACACTACCATGCCTGATTTGATGTACAATTATTTAATGTGACCCAACTTTGAGGCACACCAGGTAACTTGTCTAGGGCAATGCCAGATAAGCTTGATAACTTCACGATTGGTCTGTAATGCAGAAAGCTGACGGCAACCCATGGGGTGGGGTGTGTGTGTAGACGTGACCTTAGGAGTGTTCAGAGAGGTGGAACATAACCACCACAGCGACTCAGAGAGCTAGCCAAACCCACAGCTCTTTGGAGCTGAGGCTATAAACAGGTCTTTAGCTGGAGCTTTCCAGTGACAGCCTCCATCTCCTAAAAATGTATTCTAATCAAAACCATAGTGACTTTCAATCAAAATAAATAAATGGTAGTATGGAGCATCTCCCCCTCATATAGATATACTAATACCCCCTTCTCTTGAAGTTTTATGTGTTGTTGCATTTATATTAGAAGATTTTATTTTTCCTACTTCCCAATCCCCTCCTTCTGTACTTTGTTTGCTTTAGAAGTCGTGGGTAACTGAGAATATAATATGCTGACATTGGCTTCTTAATATCACCTGGTGAAGACAGGAGGCCCTGGGTCCTCCAGAGGGTGACATGGGTTCTTAACCTACAGTGGGAATCATTGGGGCCACCCTGTAGCTCTGGATGACAGATGTATTCCTATCCATGGCAACAGTGAGATCGGGGCAGGAGCTGCCACAAGCATGGGACTAACATCTTACCCCTGTGGCATCTCGCTTTGCAGGTGCCTTATTAAGTGGCTGGAGGTTCGAAAGGTGTGTCCCCTGTGCAACATGCCAGTTCTGCAGCTGGCCCAGTTACACAGTAAGCAGGACCACGGGCCCCCCCAGGGGCCCCTCCCTGGGGCAGAGAACATTGTATAGCTCCCTGCAAGGATCAGACTGTCTGGATATGACATCTTCATGGAATCAGGAGGAACACAAGCAGACTCTTCTTGGCTGCTCTCTTCCTGGGGTACCAGCTGCCACTTCCTTTGCCTCATGAAGAACTCCTGGGCCAGCCAAGCTAGGAACCTAGGCATCTGGGTCTGAGACAGCCAAAGCACTCTGACACTACCCCATGCAAGAGGAGAGGAGTGGCTGAGCCTGCAGGTTTGGTTCCAGAAACTTCATGAGCATCTCTTGCTAAACTCCATTATACTCTGTCTCCAAGAGTCAAGATGAATCTTTATCAAGCAGAAGGGAAGATAAACACAGGTGTTAAGAGAAGGGGACTTAGGGCAGGTCTTTAAAGCCACATCTTTCTCTGTGGACAGATAAGCTTCTGTGCAGACCTCGCATGCCTTTGTACCCCAACCCCTCCTGGCAGCCCTGAGCCAAGTGAAAGCAGCAGTTATGGCAGCTGAAGCACACCAGCTGCCAGCGGTTGGTAAGGCAGTGCCCACAAGGCTTTCCATGTTCCTTTGATAAGGCCATCTTGGAACCCAAGGGCTCTCAATACAACTGCAACAGTACCCCTCGCCACACCACACCTGCCCCCACCCCCCAGGTTCACGACACTTGCTGTCAAATCATCTAAGCTGAAAATATTCAATGCACTTGGAAAGGCTTGGTGAGAAGCCATTTTTTAATCATTCCCCCCTCCTGTTCACCAGTACGACCCATCAAGGAGCCCCAGCAGGGGCTTGGCCTTGAGCCCACATTGTCCCTGTGTGACCCAGGAGGACCTAAGGGTGCTGCCCATGTACCTTCCAGTGCAGAGTGATGCTAGCATAGCTGCTGACCCCTTGGCTCCCACCTTCTTCCTTCCCTTTGTTCTCTTCCCTCATGCCATTTCTACTCAAGAAAAAATGGCTGGCATTAACTTTTAACAGTTTATCCTATGTCATTCCAACACCTGGAGCCGGTAATACACTTGGAGTTGTATATAGTTTCAGGAAGCTCCTGCAGGGCTGTCCATCCACTGGTGTGTGCCTCAGTATTTGGACTTAAGATGACTAACTGAAAAGTGTCTTTCTAGGAGAGAAATGCATGCTGCTCTTGGTTGTTTCTGTCCAACCTTTCTAGAAATGACTCAGCCCATTAGGATCTGTGAACATTGTGTAAATTAGCCATGTAAAGCAGCAGTGGGCGAGCCAACATTCTTCACAGCCTGCTGTCCTCTCCCTTGTCATGAGTGCTGCCTCACCTCATCACCTTATTTGCTCCACTCCATCCCACAGGTGTGAGCAGGGAAGCTTCTCACTGGAAGTACATCTGCATGGCATGGAGAGGATGAAGGAGGCTTTACAGCTCTGTTTATGGCATGTCTCTAGAAACTTTTTTTCTGGAATCCAGCCTCTACCATCATAGAACAAGAGGGAACCTGTCTTTGCCTCAGGTAGCTGGGGTCAGATAAGGAGGAAAATTCCCATTTGCCTAGAAAAGTGCTGGGGGAGTCCAGCATGGTGAGACACACCTATAATCCTAGCACTAGGAAGGCTGAGGCAGGAGGATCACAAGTTTGAGGCCAGCCTGGGCTCATAGTGAGACCCTGTCTCAAAAGAAAAAAAAGAAAAGTGCTGAGCAGAATCCAGTTTGGAAAATTACAAATCCAGTTATTCAGAATTGACTGTTTCCTATGTGTGACCTGTTCACACAGGGCAAGAGAAATGTAAACTATTTTACATGAATGCCTTAGCCTGTTTGGCCCCCCATGAGAACTCTTTATTACACCCCTGCTTTCCCTCTCCTTGTGTTCTGTTTGTAGCATGATAGAGTCAAATGCTGCAACATCCAGTTTACAGTGAAGTGTTCTCAGTGACCAATGTCAGGAATGGGCTTGCTTCTGGTCTAAGCCTCATGAATGGCCACCATCCCCCATTTCCCATGGCATGGCCTTGGGATAGACTTCATCTCTTTGTTATAGGGCTCCCATAAGAAAGTTTTTTCCTTCAAAGGAGGAATTCCATGTGATCTATACTGCAAATTATCACCACTCACAAGCTTTTGTAAGATGCTAGCCTTTCAGCTGCAGCCCTTTTCTTTTCCTGTCCTCATTAATAGAGACAGCCTCATCAATGCCCAACGTGTATGGAGGCAAAATAATCATCTCACTGTGTCAGAGTCCTAGGCAGGTTGAGGTGGTCGGCGTGTAGCCTGGATAGTCAGGGCCAGTGGAAGAAAGCACAAAAATGCCCTCTACCCTGCTTTGGGCCCACACGGACAGAACACAGCAAACCTGTGAGATGCCGCTGATCTCACCACCTCAGCACTTGTGAATGCAAGTGCTTCTTCAAAGGCATTCCTTGGGCTAGAATTTGGGCTGGAAGCTGGAGTTAGAAGAGTATTCTTTCTGCTTTTAGTCATCTCTTTCTGGGCTGGATGGCCTCCTGCTGTAGCAGGCCCAGTACCACTCTCAGTAGTTCCAGCAACTAACTCCTAACCACATGACCCAAATTCATTTGCTCCCCACATCTGGATTCCCCACCAGGGTTTCCCTGTACATCTGCACTGCTGATGAGTTAGGGATTCCTTTCGACACTCTAAGCTCAGGCCCAAACCCACAGTAAGGCTGCCTATTCTACATCCACCTCCATGATTTGTTGACCTTTTGTCAATACTGGGGACTGTGGTCTGCTCTTGGATCACTAGAGCTGATATACTTTGTTATAGTGTCTTAGCACAGCTCAAAGATTGGATGTCACTTGTGTGCAGAGTTAGTGGAGCATAACTTAGTCCAGCTGGACTCCTTGGTAGCTGAATCATGGTCGTGGTTGCTAAGGGGACAACTGAATTCAGCTGGCTATGGAAATGGAACCAGCACAGCCTGATTTGATTTCTAGTTGAGTCACCATAAAACACTAAAAACTGGGAAGTGTGATTTGGTTAGGCCCTCCCCTGGCAGATGAGGCCTTATAGTTATGCTTGCCTAGCCTGTGCCCCAACTGGGACAGGTGGCCTCTGGTAAAGTCTGGACTAAGGAATACAGGGGACCGCCCACCATTTGCCAAGTACCCTGTTTTGTTTTGTGGTACTGGGGCTGGGGCTAGAACTCAGGGCCTACACCTGGAGAGAGAGAGAGAGAGAGAGAGAGAGAGAGAGTGAGAGTGTGTGTGTGTGTGTGTGTGTGTGTAATCAAGATAGGGTCTCGTGAACTATTTGCCCAGACTGGCTTCAAACCACAATCCTTCTGATCTCTGCCTCCTAAGTAGCTAGGATTACAGGCGGGAGCCACCAAGTACCCTGGTTCTTGACTTCACAAGTGAAGATCCTTTACCCCATTGCCAAGGCCCTTGGATCCATCAAAGGAACGACCTTAGGCCTTGTCTCTTTTTACAGCCCCATTCCAAAGTATGCCATCTCCATTGCTTGGTCCCACTCTAAATTTCTACTTTGAATGAATTATTTTCTGAGAGGCTCTCTGGGAGCCAGGAAATGCGCTGAGGAACCCCAGAGCTCTCAGCTGAAGTGCATGTAGTAGTTGGAAATCACTCCCTTACCACTCAACTTGCCTTGTGCTTTTTTGCAGGTTAGCCTTTCAGAGCCTTGTTTACTTATCCACTACCCAGGGATTGTAGTAAGTGTTCTTCTCACCTCTTGGGAGGATTAGCCAGTCCAAAGTCTGGTGGACAGAGGCCTGAGGGGCAGAGGGCTACTGATACCTCATAATATCTGGGTCACAAGCTTGTGAGCTTCGTAGCTATGGGGGCTTTCCCTGAGGCCTGGCCTCCAGTCTTTTCCTGATCTTCCTTGGTCACCACCATGTCTCTGCCCACAGTGCACCCTGACTTGATTACTCAGTGCTGTCTTGCTTTCTTAATTTTTGTATAAGTAATCCTTCCACGGGGTTTGCAAATCACAAAATAGTTAATGTCTTCCTTGTACTCCTCACCCCAGCAAGCACAGCTCCTTACCCCAAGAGCACCCACCACCACGTTCCTTGTGTATCCTTGCAGGGGTTATTTGTGCATACACACATTCACGTGTGTATATATAATCTTTTTACTCACAGAACAGCAGTCAGGTATATTTGAGAAAATGTTTTTACTCATGTGGGAAGAACCATCCAGAAATTAGATCATCTGTAAAAGGTGAGTCCAGAATTGTGGGATATTTTTGCCATCACATTACTTTTGAATAAGGCGTATTTCTACTTGATTGCAACATACTGGAATTCTAGTTTCCTATACAAATCAGAAACTGAAATCTCTCCCTTATCCCCAAGAATAGGGGATAATCTGACAGAACAACCAGAATTTGACCATCTTCCTGATGTATGACAGGCCCCTCCCATCAGGCTCTCTAGCAAGAGCAGCCCCTGCAGGTGCCTGGAGAAGCTGCCACCCCTCCCCCATCTTGGCCACTCCAGGAGGACCAGGAGTGTCCAGTGCCTGTGTCTGGCTACCACTGTTACACTATCTCAGGTGGGTACCAATGTTTTTGAGGCAGGAGTGTGAACAGCAGCAACTGAAGACTCCTGTCTTGTGAAGCAGGCAGCCCATGTCTCCAGGGCCAACTGTGCTTCCCTCTCCCCTCTTCCCCATCTTTATGGGCACTTGCAGAAGCAAATGTTCTATAGAATCCCCCTCCCCCAACTTCTTTTCCAATTAAAAAAAAAAAAAAAAACGCCACTAGTGGTAGCTTTTTCAAGTTTATTCTTGCCTTCTAGATACAGGTTAAAGCTGCTTCCTCCAAGCAGCCCTGAGCAGAGGGGCACAGGCCCATCCATACCTTGCTTTCCCACAGCTACCACTTGTCTCACTAGGCCCACCCAATCTCAACCTTGAGAATTGAATTTTGTGAACCCCATCCTTCTGGCATTTGTGGAATCTCTGGCCTAGGTTAGTGTCTTCCCCTGGAACTATTAGGAATTTCCTAAGGAGATGTCAAGTCACAAATTCTGAAATTTGCAGGTGATAAATAGAAAATTTGCCAGCCGTGGCTCTGTGAGATTAGAGGCCCATGGGCCATGGAATGTGCTTCCGCGTGAGATGTATAAGGAGAAAAATAGGGGCTTGTTCCATAAATGTGGTTTCTCCAGTTCAGCTTTAGAACGCAAGTTGTTGCAAGATGCAAATTGTTTCATTCAACTTTTAGGGCAGGATTAGCACTCTTGGCTTATCAGCCCAGTCCTTACTCCTGTGGCCATGAGGCCAGGGCAAACACCTTCACTGCTTCACAGACACAGCGTAACTTAGAACGTGTGCCCTACCACATCGAGACTTGTTTGAGCTTTGGTTAAACTCTTAGCAACCTGTCCAGTCCCGCCCTCGCAGGTCTGGGTCTCAGGCCTCCTGTGCATGGTTCCTCTCTGTCCACATTCCTCCCTCCCAGGCCAGGTTAGCACAGGTGGGGAAGGGTGGCAAGTGTTGGCAAGTTCCTCCTGGTTACAGCCTGGTCTTCCAAGTAACTAGTAACTGGGTCTCTGGGTCTCTTGACAAACCATAATGGGAAAGGAGGGCACTTTAGTCTTGCAGTTTAGCCCTTTGGGGCTTATTCACTAGGTATTGTATAATTCCCTAAAAAAGTTTATGAAATGCTGACCTTCAGGTTTCATAGACATATTTGTACACTAAGAATTCTGCAGCAGAATATTTTTAAACATTTGCAGGTTTTGTAAGCTATATTTTTGTATATTTAATTGCTATTTTAATGCATTTTTTGCTAATCACTTGTTTAAAAATGAAACATGCATGTAATTGACTGGAACACATGTAAATAAAGAGATTTTGAAAATACTTCATATTGTGTACCTTTGAACTTAACTCGTGGCAAGACTTGGAAATTCAAGACAAGTTCTGATCAACTGGATGGAGGAGCCTCTGGCCTGTCCCCTATGTATGTAGAGAGTAGTGGGGCGTAGGCTGTGGTGGAGAGTGCCGAGTCTCCACAAGGAGTAAGACAGAGGACCAGATGGAGACTACAGTGGACACACAGGCTCCGCCAGCTGGGCACAGGCAGGCAGTCTCCCATTCATGAACCCACTCATGACAACTTTCACTAGCACAGCTGAGCACCATCCCACCACAGCCCACGATACCCAAGGACTTGCCCCGCCACCTCAGTCCTACAGCTGGGAGGGCTTTTAGACTTGGAAGTAACTACTTTTCAAGAGAAAAAAAAAGTCTTGGTCCAAAGTTCTGCAGCTGTGGCCACTGCTGCTCCCTCATCAGGACCTCTGCAGCCCCATTTGGGCAGCCTCATAACCTCTTCACGAAGGTACAGAGAGCCCCCGATCGTCCTGCTGAGCCACAGGCCCCTAATTGGGCTTGCTTTCCTTGCGGCCTGTTGCTTAATTACCCATCTCCTGTGACTTACTCACACTTCTGGGATTCACTAACGTGCACATTCTCAGCTCTGTATCTCCAACCCAAATACCCAACTGTCTATTCAATGAATGTCTTCAACTCAAACAGTCAAATCAAGCCAAGCTGCCCTCACAGTGCCTCCCTGCTCTCATCCCCCACCTCTAGCCACCATGGCCCAAACAGCCCACAAAGCATTTCCTCTCTCCCATCTTAGTTCAAGGTCCTTGTTGCACTACTGTGGTAGAGGTGGGACACTCAGAGCACCAAGGGAAGGGCAGACTGAAAGCTGCTGAGAAGGCAAGGTGGAGGCAATCACTAGAGATTGAGTCTGTGTGCACCTCACAGTCTAAAGATGGCATGGGTGCAGATGTGCATCTTTTTGTATAGCGATGGCCCTGGAGGCCTACCGGTTAACAGTGAAGTAGGCAGTGTCAGGCTAGAGCTCAGAGACCAGGGCTGGCCGCAGAGCTGCTTTGGTAGTCAAGATGAGGGCAAATGACTACTCGGGGAAGGCTCTCAACTGAGCCTGAATACTGGTGATGTCTATTGTCAGTAACGTGGCAGACAAGAGGTAGCCTGGGAAGCAGAAGCAAGAAGGTCCTATAGTTAAGAGGTAAAGATGAGGCCCTGAAATGCCCCCTCAATTTTTGAGAGTCAGTGGTGGCCTGTCAAGAACCCACCCATGTGAGCCAGACATGATGTCACATGTCTACAATCCCATGAAATGAGAGGGTGAGCTGAATACAAGGTGGAACCTGAGGAAATGGAGCAGCGGGTTCAGGGAGGAAGGCAAAGTGGAGGAAGACTCCCAACTCAAGCTCCTGGGCCAGACAGACCCGGGCCTGAGTCCAGCTCTGCCACTCCCAACTGTGACCTTGGGCCACTCCTCTGAGCTTGTTTCCTTCTGTTAGTGTGGGAACAGCAAGGGCTGAAGGAGAAGACCCACATACAGCACTGTCAAGACCTTCAGAAAGCTAGGGGGAGGGGCAGGCCCAGGGCAGTAGCAGGGCCTCAGGCACAGGAGCTGAAAACACCTGGCAAAAATAGATGATGCCATCTTTGATGGTTGTGGGGGGGATGCAGAGCCACCAAAGTAACTGGGAGCAGAGGGCAGAACACAGCATTGGGGTACCAAAACAGCTGGGCCAGGAGCAGTAGCGAAGACAAAACTGCCATCTCTGCTGCATCCCTTGTGCTCTGCACTGCACAAGACCCCATCTGAGTGGCACCACACCTCAGGTGTGCCAAGGCACGTTCTCAAAGGCAGCTGCCCCTCTAAGAATTAGGAATGATTGTGAGCTGGCCAGCCAAATCTATCCCTGAAATCCTATTACCCTGACCTGTGGGTGGCTCTGTGCTACCTGGGGCCCATCCCTCAGCCCCAGCCAAAAGGCAAACTAAGCTAAGTGGCCACAGAGTTTGAGGTCTCTCTTCCAAGGCTGCTGTGTACAAGCTGTTCCTTGCCTTCAGCAATGACAGAGGCATTACTTAATGTAAGATACAAAGGCTGCACCATTTCTACATGGCAAAAAGAAAAAGTTTAGTCCTTACCAAGATTATCTCACAGACTGTCAAATCTCTCAAGCAGCCTCCTGAGACTTGTTTCCTCCCCTGAAGGCCCCCTGCCAGTTCCTGGTGGGCTTTGTCTGGGAATGTCAACTCTAGACCAGCCCTTTAGTCTAGTGTCTTCTGGACTGTGTTTTTTCTATTAGTTTGCCTGCTTTCATCAGGTCCCCAGTCCCCACTACCCAAGGGAATTCTGTCAAAGCCTTGTCTTTCCACACAGACCACTCCACGATTTACAATGTTAAGTAACATGAACTGCCCTTCCAAAACTTGTAGTAAAGTTGCAGGTAAAAACTGAAATGCCCAGTTAAGTTTGCAGAACTTCAAAATAAATCATTTTTTTTTGTATGTTCACACAAAGGCTAAATGCAAACCAGAATAATGCACAGGTGATGTCCAAGGGCATACTGACAAAATTCTGATTAGAGTGGAACACAGGGCAGCTTGCAATGCATTTAGCAAGTTCAAACAGGACACACAACTACAGTCAGCTGAACAAAGGAATGTAGGACAGCTCTCCCCAGGAGAGTGTCTCTCAAGGCAGAGATTTCAACACCGCAGATTTCAACACTTCTATGCTGAAGAGCAACTTAAAAACAGCAAATCTTCACAATGCCTGGACATGGCCCATGGTTTTTGCTTTTAATGTATCTTTCCTCACTGGTTGCTAGTTTTGACTGAATTTTAAGGATTTATCTTGATGACTTAGAAAAATACACTTGTCATTTCTTGCTGATTCGGCTAGTACACGATCATAAAACTGAGTCTCTTAAAAAACTAAAGTTCACAGATCCCATTGTGGAAGGTTCCAGGAAGCCCTCACAAGTAACAATCAGGGAATCTTCAACAGCTCAAGGAGTGCTCCAACAGCTCCAAAATAGCCCTGAAAAAAAGAACAACAAGAATAAGAGCAATTTTCCTTAAGCTTATTAAGTTACCACAAATGGGATTACTAGTATTAAAGCCAATGTGGCCCTTAACTCCATTTCCTAGGCACCTCCTGACCCATTTCCAAGAGTGCCTCCGGGTGGGAGGGCTTGGATATATAAGACACCTAGACATGTCTGTCCACTGTGGCAAGAGCACAGCCAAGCCCACAGCAAGCTCTGTGGTAGGTGAGGCAGCCAGGGACTCAGTTGCTCTGGGCTGTCCTGGGGAACAAGAAGGGAGAGCCAACAGAGGCCTGGCACAACTCCAGACAACTAAGAGATAAAGGTGAGATGGGGCATAAGTACCACAGAGGTTGAAGACCTGGAGATGGGAAGGAAGGTGAGGAAGTGGTGGAATGGACCGAAGATTCACCTATAGGAGATGAGGGTAGCTGGAGCGAGCTTTCTCAAGCTCTGTTCCTCCTGACCTAATTGGGGGCAACTGGAGATGAAGAAAGGACAAAGGATAGAAGATAAACATGCATAAAGTTGGAGCCAGGTGCGCAGGACGCTCAGATGAAGACACACAATAGCCTCATTACTTCTTTTCTCTACTATTCTTTTCTTCTCTATTCTTTAAGGCCTTACTTTTAAAGTCTTTCTTTAAAACCTTGCTTCTTTTCTATTCTTTAAAGTCTCTTTCCTTAGACATGCTCTGTCCCTTTAATCTCTCTTGAAGTCTTGGCCCTCAGACTTGCACTGTCCCATGTTCCCTTTTAAAGTCTCGGTCCTCAAGACTTGCACTGTCCCATGTTCTCTTTAGCTTTCTTAAAATCTCGGTCCTCAAGACTTGCACTGTCCCATGTTTCCTCTAATCTCTAGTGTAACACAGCAATCCACCAATCAACCAACCTCCATCAAAAAACCCTCCTGTCCTCCTTCAGTGAGTCTTTTATATCCAATGGTAAACAAGGAGGTGGAGCAACAGTTCTCGGGGAGGGGCGTGACATTGTAACAAGAGAAACCTGCATTCCTATGTCTCTGAACTTCCTACTTCTTTCTCTGAACGTAAACAATTTAGGAACAGCAGCTGTGCTGCATTTTGCCTTCTCTCTCTGCTGCAGCTTGGGGCTTGCCAAACTCAGCCTGTAGATCATTGAGCACAACTGTCAAGTTCTCATAGGTTTCTCATAATCTACTCCCCATAAGTAGCAGGGGATGTCTGGAGACAAACTGAAGAAAGCAGCTCTGGAGAACAGGTGAGGACCTGAAAGAGGACAAGAGTCACACCATCGCCACAAGTAAGGAGTCAGATCAAATGCAACCAAATACTAGAAACCAACCAAACAAACAAAACTGGATGAAGTAATGAAAGAAATGAGACAAAGCACATACTGACAGCAGGAGAATGCCAACAGGGAACCAAAGAAAACTACAATGCTACAGAATTCATCAAGGTCTCTAAAGCATGAGAGTAAATACTGAACTATACTTAAGAGAAGTAACTAGGGCTAGGGATGCAGAGTGCTTTTCCAGTGTGCATGAAGCCCTGGGTTGAAAGAAAAGTGGGGGAGGGAAGGAAGGAGAAAGAAAGGAAGAGAGAGAGAGAAAGGGAGGTAGAGAAAGGAGGAAGGGAGGGAGGGAAGAAAGAAATGAAACCAGAACATAGAAAGATCTTGAAAGACTTCATTGTGAATTCTGAAGAACATACCAAGTGTCTGAAGTATTAGAAATAGTAGGTTCAGTCTATTTTTTTTCAAGAAAAGCTAGCAGAACTGAGTGCTGGTAGCTCAAGCCTGTAATCCTAGCTACTCAGGAGGCAGAGATCAGGAGGATGGCCATTCAAAGCCAGCCCCGACAATATTCAACACAAAAAAGGGCAAGTACAGTGGCTCACATGGTAGAGCGCCTGCCTCACAAATATGAGGCCTTGAGTTCAAACCCCAGGGCTGCAAAAAAAAAGAAAGAAAAAAAGAAAAGCTAGCACAAGTAGATACATGTCCCCAAACAACAGAGAAGCTATGGTCTGCCCTCTGTCTGTTTCCTTGCTTTTCAATAAGGAAACCACACTATCTGTATCGTGAGGAGGCCAGCATTGGAGGATTAAGCAGCCAAGAGACTCGCCACAGCTCAGTTAGCTATCGTGGCCAGGGACACAGAGGCAAGGGTGCTCACTGATTTATTTGCCTGTACTGGAGTTTGAACTCAGGGCTTTGGGCTTGCTGGGCAGGTGCAATGCCAATTGAGCCACTCCTCCAGCCCCGGGTGTTTATTTTATAAAAATCTATGTTGTTTCATGTAGCTTCCTGTATCTGTGCTTTATTTTACAATGACAAAAGAAGACAGTTAACCATTACACTGAGTTCACTAAAGACCCTGAACCTACACTAAGTAAACAAAGAGACAGGCTGTTGTAGTCAACAACCAAGAACAGTGAAGAAAGAGACAGATGACCTCAGAAGAATACACCAAGCTTCCACAACCACCATTAAACTGACTGCCTCGCCACAGAAGGACACGAGTTTTTTTCAAGTCTAGGAAATCAACAATAGTCAGAGGCATGAATGCAAATGGAAAACCCAGGAAGAAATGGTCCAGCAATGCTAAGCAGAAGAAAAAATGAAGTTAAACAGGCAGTAATAATGACAAAATAAGTATAACTACAGGATGGGTAACCCTTATCCAAAATACTTGGAAGTCAAAAGTCTGTCAAATTTTGGAGTCTTTCGGATTGAAAATATATACATAGATTTTCCCGGTGGAACATCCCTAATCCAAATGTTCATCAGCACTCAAAGTTTCAGATTTCCTGATTAGAGATACTTAACCTGTACAAATTGTTTTGTTTTGTTTTGTTTTGTTTGGGGGGGGTGTCAGAGGGAAAGATTAACATGCCAAGTATGGTGGTACACATCTGTAATCCCAGCGTTCAACAGGCCAAGACTGGAGTATCACAAATTCAAGGCCAGCCTGAACTACACAGCAAGTTCTACGTCAGCCTGGCCTACACAGTGAGACTTTTCTCAAAAAAAAAACAAAATAAAAAAAATAGGTTTACATAAAAAACTAATCTGTTTCACCTAGGAAAAAGATCTCAACAAGAGGTAGAAAGTATGCAGGAAGAAAGTTATACTAAGATATAACATTAAATTAGAATTTTCCATTCTAAAAGATCGCAAGGCACAAGATGCATACAGAAATTATAACTATAAGAAACTTAACGATTTGCTAATATATAGCATTAGGAGTTAAAAAAAAAGTTACATGGTTTAGATTTAATCTTTCTGCTAGGGGAAATTTATGTACTTTGGATTTTTTAACTATGAACGTAAAGCAATTTAAAAAGAAAACCTTAGAGCAACTTTAACGGCAAAAGTAATTATTGTATCACTTCAAATCCTATTTGATTTGTCATTCACATAAACACTGTTACAACAAACATGCACGTTATTCAGGAAAATGTTCATAGTAAAAAAAAAATGTGAAATGGTTGAACCACCCATCAACCAAAGGGAGGGAAAAGAATCCCCGTCCTTCCATAATTCTTGTTCCATTTTTCCTCCAAACAGGAAAAACAAAAGGGTACTTTCTGAGGTAGAGTATCAGGTGGAACAATTTGATGATTTCTTTCCATTTTGTAATTTCTAGCCTATCCTTGTGATAGTATGGTTCTAGTCTAGCATGTTCTTACTGTTCTCTTCATTTTTAGAACATAAATGTTACATAAATGGCACATGATTCTATCAATACATAAAAATTTGCATTAAAAAAAAAAAGCAGAACCCAAAGGGACTGCATTTACAGAGCCAGTGAAATGGAGGACTGTTCAGAAAATATGATACTTGAAATAAAGAGAAATGGTCATCAAGAATTTTTCCTGGGGTTGGAGATTTAGCTCAGTGGAAGAGCGCTTGCCTGGCAAGTGCAAGGCCCCGAGTTCGGTCCCCAGCACCAAAAAAAAAGGAAAAAATAAAAAAAGAATTTTTCCTTTGGAGACTGGGAATGTACCTTAGTGGCAGAGTGCTTTCCTAGCATGCCAAAGTCCTGGGATTGATCCTCAGCACTACCAAAAAAGGTATTTCTTTCCTTAACATTGTTTAAGCTTATAATTAGTCAGAAACCTACCTACTCTGAATTATACTGGGTAAGAAACAGCTTGCAAGGTAAGCAGCAGTAGCTCCCGTGTGAAATCCTGGCTACTTAGGAGGCAGAGATCAGGGGGATCACAGCTCAAAACCTGCCCAGGCAAAGAGTTGAGATCCTATCTTGAAAAAACCCATCACAAAAAAGGGCAGGTGGAGTAGCTGAAAGGGTAGGCCCTAATTCAAACCCCAGTACCACAAAAAAAAAAAAAAGCCCACAAGGTTAATAAATCCAACCTTATACAATTACAAAAAAAAAAAAAAAAGAAATAGTGCAGCCCAGTTTGAGTCTCCTTTAAGTTCCTCTACAATATAAATTATGTGCCCTTTGTGTATGTAACATTCACCAGAAAAAAGTACACTCACCTCGTGCTCTGAAAACAGCGCTTTCAACTGCCCCTTGGACCAGTAATCCAAAGCATATGCCAAAAGCCGCATGGCAATCGTATTAACTCTCAAGAAATTTCCAACAAATACCACCTGGTTAATGTTCTAAGACATCAAAAAAAGGGCAATTAGTTTATATCCTGGTTTTTGTTCTCAAATGCTACAGTCAGAAGACCATGATCCACACAGTTTTTAGCAGCATTTGAATGATGGTCAAATTTAATCCAGTTGGTCCAGAGCTAATCAAACTCTACACCCAAAAATGTCACAAAAAACAGGTTAGAAAAAACATTTTTATTAAATATGGTAAATAACTACTATTAAGTAAAAATCGTATACAAGTAGGTAAAAAAAAAAAGTTAAGACCCTAATTCAAAAACAGAAAGTGACACACATAGGCAAATTATACTAGATATGTAACAGGTAGAAAAAATTCAGCTTCACTAGTGATCAAAGAAAGCAAAATTTTAGACCTATTAAGTTAACAAAAACAACTACCTGAGCTTCAACCCCCCAACATTAGTAAAGATGCAGTGAAACTGATTCATTCATCATTGCTAAAGATGATCTAAATGGGTTTGGGCCCAGTGCAAAAAAATAGCATCACAGCAATTCACACGAAGACTCATAATCACAATCATATTCTAAAGACAAGAAGTCTCACTCCTGAGCAAAAATGAGCCAAAAATAGCTCCACACACCTAAAAACCCTTACTGCAGAGTTATCACTGGCAAGTAACCAAATGGCAAGCTCTATAAGAATAATGTATGACAAAAAAGCCTGATCAAATATGAAGTCATGAAATGTCAAAGTTAAAAAAAAATATGGTTATGTATACCAACTAAAATATCTCCAAATACATAAGCACAGGAAACATGCAACAAAGAGAAAGGTACTGTTATAATATTCAAATGAAATTTTTCAATTTAAAACCAAACTGTATAAACAGGAACAAGTCATAAGCTGCACCAACTGCATCCAAGATTCTCTTTCCCCAAGGGCAGCCCATTCTTGGTTCTTTCATAGCCCTGTACAATGCTGCTTGACCTGAATGCTACAAGGCAGCACTGTAAAGAAGCTGAAAGCACGAAGATGCAGCTCTACTGAGGTGGAGAGGAACCAAGGCAGGCCTTCCTCTGCCTACTCAGTCTTCTTCCAACTTCAGTGACTTCCTGTGGATTCCTTCCCAGGACCTCAAGAACTCCCGATGAGCATGAAATCTAGATTCAGCATGGTTATCCGTCATCACACCCATTCCCAGGTCTCCATCATCTGAACACTGGCTTTCTTCCTATCTTCTTCCACTTTCTCCTCAAAAAAGGTCATTTTACCTTTACAATAACAGTATCTATCTTTAGTAAGAAAAAAAAAAAAAAATCAATGAAGATTAACCTGTATTTGAAAAGTTTTAACTCTGCACTGAAACAAAGTCCATCCCATATGACTACATTTAGGCACTATTTTCAGATAACAGACATTGCCAATTATCAAGGTGGAACCCCCCCACCTTAAGAATATTCAGTATTTTCCTTGGAGCAACAAAAGAAACCCCTGACCCCTTACTTCATTAAGGGCACACATTCTTGCTATGGAGCCAATGTTGTTGGTGATGGTGATCAGAGTGGCTCTGGCGAGGTCCTCCTTCCTGACAGCCTCTCGCTTCTCCTTGCTCACCATGTTTCCAAAGCTGCGAGGAGGAAAAAAGATCGCACTGCTAAACCAAACGCAGCGCAGTCCAACAGACATTCGACGTGACTTTACTGAATAAAACTGGCTTTTAGAACAACACTGTTCAAATCTTCCAGTTTTTTACCATACAATGATGGAGTATCTGCTCAAAGAAAACTGCTTCAAATAGAAGCCCGCAAGTGTTCTAAATGAGCAGGCAGCTCTTCCTGTGGTTTCGACTGAAATATAACTTTGATACCAGATAATCCCAACATCTCATTAGATCCCCCAGAAGACAACATTGCCCTTCCTGCTACCAGAGACAGTTCCAAGAAGATACCTCTATTAGTAATTCATTCTAGTGACGACTATTCCACTCAGATGGTCACATTCACATCTTAACTGCTTTACCTGAGCAAAGCAATGTATAGATGAGGCCCAGAAAGCTACTTTAAGAGCTGCAGATTTCCCAGCAAAATAAAGTACTTCAAATTTCCTAGCCAGAATTGCTACATTAATAACTATGAACAGAACACAAACCTAGCCAATCAGAAAAAGGAAGTGATGACCAATGAGTAAATGCTGCAAACACAGAAAATAAACTCTATGGTACTCAGTGCCTCAAATTAGCAAACAAGCAAGTATATATGAATGCCTCTTCTCTATTATTAAAAGTCAGGTGTCCTTGCCAGGCACTGGTAGCTCACACCTATAATCCTAGCTACTCAGGAGGCAGAGATCAGGAGGCCCTTGGTTCAAAGCCAGCCTGGGTAAATAGTGTGTGAAACCCTATCTCGAAAAAAATCCAACATAAAAAAGTGGCTTAAGTAGTAAACTGCCTGCCTATAAGCATGAGGCCCTGATTTCAAGCCCCAGTACTGCCAAAAAAAAAAAATTTTTTTTTTAAATTAAGAAAACAAGGCTAAGCTGGGTATAAAAGCAAATGCCTATAATCTCAGCACTCAGGGGGTGAAGGCAGGATAGCAAGTTCAAGGCCAGTTTGGACTACACAGCAAGACCCTATCTCAAAAAACAAAACAATTCTATTTATGATAGCATCAAAGAGAATAAAACACTTAGGAACGAATTTAACAAAAGAAGTATAATATTTCTACACTAAAATCTACAAAACACTGTTGAAAGAAAGGAAAGACGTAAATATATGGAAAGCCCATCTTCTTGGACCAGAAGACTTGACAATAATAAGGTAACAATACTTGCTGGGTGCTGGTGGCTCACACCTATAATCCTAGCTACTCAGGAGGCTGGAAGTCAGCCCAGGCAAATAGTTCAAGACCCCCCAACCTCAAAAAAACTCATCACAAAAAAGGGCTGGGGGAGTGGCTCAAGGTGTAGGCCCTGAGTTCAAGCCCCAGTACTGCCCCCCATTAAAAAAAAAAAAAAAAAAGGAAAATCCGATGGCAATACTCGGGAGTGGCTCAAGCAATAAAAAAAGCACCTGCCTGGCATGTGTGAGGCCGGCCCTGAGTTCAAACTCAGTGTCGCAAAAAAAAAAAGGCAGTACTCCCCAAACTGGTCAACAGACTTGATGTGTGTAGTTTAATATAATGCAAACAAAGTTCCACGTGTCTTCTTTGTACACATTGCGAAGTTGAGACAAAACTTCATAAGAAATTCAAGGAATCCAAAATAGATAAAACAATCTTAAAAAGAGAAACTTGGAGAACTCATTTCTATTTTCTTCAAATTTTAATTCAAACCTACAGTAATCAAAACAGCAGGGTGCTGGCCTAAGGACAGACATACAAAACAACAAAGCAGAATTTAGTCTAGAAATAAACCTAGTATCTATGGCCAATTGATTTCTGATACAGGGACCAAGAAAATCCAATAGGGAAAGAATAGTTTTCAACAAATGGTGCTGGGACAATTGGACAGCCACATGCTACAGAAAGAATTTGGACCTTCACGTCTCAGCATACACAAAAAATAACTCAAAATGGATCACAGACCAAAATGAAAGAGCTAAAACACTATAAAACTCTTAGAAGAAAATAGCAATAAACCCTCACAACCTCAGATTAGGCAATGGTTTCTTTTGTGTTTTTGTTTTGGGTTTCTGCCTTGTCTGGGGGCGTTTTTTGAGACAGGGTCTCATTAGAAACTTCAGGCTAGTCTCAGGTTAACAATCCTCCCACCCCCAATTCCCCAGTGTTAGGACTACAGTCGTATATGATGACAACTAGCTTCCACAAACTCTTACTGTTCCTAATCACAGATTTAAGCCCTCCAACATGTAAAGGGTTAGTATCTTTTCTTTCCCTGTGGTTCTGGGAAATGAATTCACAGCTTTGGGCATGCTAGGAAAGCATTCTACCAATTGAGCCTCAATGGTTTCTTATGGATGATACCAAAAGTGCAAGAGATAAGAGAAAACAGACTTTACCAAAATTAAAAACTTCCATGCTGCCAGGCACTGGTGGCTCACACCTGTAATCCTAGCTACCCAGGAGGCAGAGATCAGGAAGATCTGGTTCGAACCAGCCCAAGCAAACAGTTCATGAGACCCTTTCTCAAAAACAAGCCAGGTGTGATGGTTCATGCCAATAATCCCAACTATACCAGAAGCAGAGACAGAAGACCCAACTGGGGAGAAGCACAAGACTAGCTGAAAAACAAACTAAAAGCAAAACAACTGAGCAGTGGCTCAAGTGGTAGAGCACTTGCCTAGCCTAATTGCCTACCAACTTAAGGCTCAAGGCCCTAAATTCAATCCCCAGAACTCAACAGTAAAAAGGAATAAAGTACTGATTCCTGCTACAACATGAATGAACCTTGAAAATATTATGCTAAGAAGCTGATGTACATAAAATGTTCAGAACAGACAAATCTTTAGAGACAAAAGTAGATTAGTGTAGGGCAGGGTTAAAGTAGAAAAATGGGGAAGGGCAACTAATGGATTTTATGTTTCTAATATGATGAAAGCATTCTGAAATACAATTAGGAAGTTGCCAAATTTTGTAAATACACTGGAAACTATTAAAATACACACTTTAAACAGATGACTTTACAATACGTAAATGGTATTTCATTAAAAGTAGTACTTACTATTTTATTCCTATATTTCTTACAACCTACATGCTCCCTTACCTCGAAGCAACAGCCCAGCCTGGCAATCCAAACCGCTCATAGTCTCCTCCATAAATGTCTCGCACTAGTTTATCCACTTTGGTGCTATCTCCACGAGATGCCATTTCGAGAGCTTCTTCAAAAGTGGTACAGCCAGTAAGAAGACAGCAGAGACCAAAAAAAGTTCCTCCTCCAAGACTGTGATTACAAACAAGCAGTGTAGTATTATACTATTTTTAAAAATAGGAATAGAAAGTAAGGATTTATGAACTCCCAAACCATAATCATGTAACAATTCATTCCTGCCCCAATCCCACCATGCAGGTGACACCAGTAAGATACAACAAGCCAGCAAAAGACAAACACAAGGTGCCTCATATGCACCTTGAATGTACATATTCATGTGAACCAGCAAGCAAAGCAGCGGAAACACAGGACTCTGCCCATATCCAAGTGCAGTCTTGGCACCTGCTGAGCATCAAGAGCCTGGGGTGCACATCAGCCCTTTCCCTCTTCAAGTGTAAAATGATTGCAGTCCTTCTCACTCAAGCATCTAATTACGCTAGCTCATTGGTCCCCCAACCCACCATTAGTTCTCCAGTGATCTGTTTTCTCCCCAAAATTATTGCTCTCATTCTCACATCTATTAAGTTTGTTTTTGGGAGGTTTTTTGGCAGTACTGGGATTTGAACTCAGGACTTCACGCCTACTAGGCTGTCACTCTACCACTTGAGTCACTCCACTAGGCTTTTTTTTGAATTGGGTATCTTTGAGAGAGAGTATGTAGAACTATTTTCCCAGGCTCGCCTTGAAACCTCAGTCCTCCTTATCTCTGCCTCCTGAGTAGCTAGAATTACATGCGTGAATCACCGGCACCGGGCTTAAAACTTTTTTTATCCCAATCCCAGTTCCTTGTTTTTCCTAAAGTGACCTGTGATCCTTAAGCCAAAACACATTTTCTCTTTCCATCTAACCTTCCATTTTTAGTCTATCCTCCCCCAATTATTATTTATTGATCAGCACTTCAGCTTCTAGATCTCACACCATACCCTGACTATCCCCAAGCCCTCGACTACTTGAGCCACACTCCCAGTCTTTAGTGTGTATGTATGTGTGTATCTGTGTTTAGATGTGTTTAGCCTTCCTTTGCCTCCTAAGAGCCTACCTAATAACTTTAGTTACTTGGTATATGTGCACCATAAACTGAGAGTAAGGACTATGGGCTTAATGAGTGTGTTGATGTAACATTTTATTAAATTTTAGTAATAAAATCTTTTTTTATTGTATTATTGTTGTACTTGAGGTACACTGTTAACATTTACAAAAGTGCTAACAATATTTCTTAGTTAAATTCACCCCCTCCATCATTCTAAACTATGGTAATAAAATCTTAAGCCGGATGCAGTGGTTCCCAGCTGTAATCCTAGTTACTCAGGAGGTAGAGAACTGGAGGATCGCAATTTGAAGCCCGCCCAGGCAAATAGTTTGAGACACCATATTTCCAAACAACAGCATAGGAAGAGGCTGGTGACTCAAGTGGTACAGTGCCTGTCTAGCCAGCATGAGGCCCTGAGTTCAAATCCCAATACTGCCAAAAAAACCTTTTAAACAGAGATTAAAGTAGGTCATTAAAGTAGAAATTTCAAAGAAAAACATGTTTTCATAATCCCAGAAAAACTTAAAATCTTTCACTTAATTTTAACAAGTTCTTGAAGGATGTTATCTGTAATACCTGAAAACCCAGTTAACCCATTATATAAAAAACAAACAATGAGGCTGGCAGAGTAGCTCAAGTTGTAGAATACCTGCCTAATAAACATGAGGCCCTGAGTTCAAACACCAGTAGCACAAAAAAAAAATTAATTTTAATTTAATTAATTCTGCTACTCAGGAGGTGAAAATCAAGAGGATCACGGTGAGGTCAATCCCAGGCAAAAAGTTCACAAACCCCTATGTCAACCATAGCTGGATGTGGTGGCAAGCACCTGTCAAATCATCTTTCAGGAGACTGAAATCAGGAAGATCTTAGTTCCAGCCCAACCTGGGCAAAAAGTTCTCCAGACTCCATCACAATAGCAAAAGCTGGTGTGGTGGCACACATCTGTCATCCCAGCCACTATAGGAAGCACAAATAGAAAAATCATGGTCCAGGCTGGCCTAGGCAAAAATGGGAGACCTTAGGCAGGCACCAGTGGCTCATACCTATAATCCTAGCTGATCAGGAGGATTGTGGTTTGAAGCCAGCCCAGGCAAAGAGTTCGCAAGACCATCTCTCGGAAAAAATCCATCACAAAAAAGGGCTGGTGGAATGGCTGAAGGTGTAGGCCCTGAGTTCAAACCCCAGCACCACCAAAAAAAAAAAAAAAAACTTACCTGGTGCCTGTGACTCTCTTGTAATTATCTTTGGAATATACCGCTAAGATGCTAACCCCTGAGCCAATGTTCACCAGAAGCAGAGGGTATGGGTTTTTCAAATCAAATGGTATCTTCTGACATTTTTCAGAATCAGCAGGGTTTTTAAAGTAATAGCACTGCGACCGTCCATTGAATCCAACTGAGTCAATGTATAAAATTCCTTTTATTAAGCAATCAAGTTCATCCAGTTTGCAAAGATGAAGATCACCTATCTGTAAATAAGAATGTATTCAGACTTCTTAATAAACCAATAGAAAATTTAAATAGTTTTTTTAAAAATCCCCTCTACAGTATATAAACCATAAAAGCATACCCACAGTTGTCTATGCTTTACAAGACAGATACAGGACAACAAAAGGGAGGAATGGACTGCCAAGACAGACTCCTGCTTCCACAGACCCAAATACATACACTCTACATACAAACCACTGCAACAGCTGGAAAAGTATACTCAAAATCACAATTGAGTAGTTATTTGCCTAGTCAAGCAGAAAACAAGATCTGTGCTGGCAGTGGCAATGAGGCAGGTATAGTTGAGGCCATGGCTCTATCAAAGCAATTGGTGATAATGGCAGGAACAAGAAAGTCTTCAAGGCTATGAGCAGTATCAAAAGAAGCCACACACCTTACTACTTAACAACCTGTAGCCAAAGGGACTTCAAGTGCCCAATTAGAAATTAAGATTATCTAAACTGGTTACATCATTCTAGAGGAGGGGGGGTTAGCAGTATCAAATTGAAACCATTTTTATCAACTTAATTCCTTTCAAAAATTAACAAACTTGCAGACCATTATTCACATTATTGGACACAGTACAGCAATTAAGAACAAAGAGGATCACTAGTTTTGAGGCCAGCCTAGGCTATATAGAGAGACCCTGTCTGGGGAAAAAAAAAAAAAAACCTGTCGAAAAGCAACTTTGGAAATATTTTATAAAATACAGCCCCATCCCCATGTGCCTATTTTTACAAACAAGTTTATTTGCACATAAGTGTACATACAGAGTCATGTACTTAAGATGTATAAACCATGTAACAGTGATGACTTTGGAGAGATGATACACACTGCCATATTTGACTGGATTTCATTTCACTTTGGATGCTTGCAAGCACAAATACTCAATATGTGACAAAAGGCTTCATTAAGCCTCTACCCCTAAAGTACCTGATTTTGTTTATAACCAAATTTAGCCCTGAAAGTTCCTCTTTAATTACATTTATACTCAATTTATTCCGGTCCCCTGTGAGAGATAGAAAAGTTAGTAGGTAACTTCAGATGAAGCCCTAATTTAATTAATCCCTAATTAGAAATACTAAATCACTCCTCGGACCAAACCCAAGCCCTTTCAGGTGTTTATCACCATCATTTTATCTGGCCATTCCCTCATGTCAAGATGAATTCAGAGATGAGCTTGGGACCTGAGTTAAAACCCCACCTCCAAAAAAAATGAATTAAATGCTAAGTGCCAGCATTTTCATTTCTAAACCAAATTGTTTCACACTGGTGGCTTATTAGAACCCACGCTATTTTCTGATCTTGTATGTCAAACCAATTTCTCCTTTTATCCTTCCTATAATTCATGTTACCCTAAAATGTGCTATTGTTATTATTCCTAATCAATCTCAGCCTAGCGGACATACTCTTGGAATCCACAGGTGATTCACTAACCCAAGTTACTGGCAAAGTAAGTTTAATACCAACGGACAAACTCAATATGAAAAAATCTGATTCGCATTAAAAAAGAAAACTTGATATTTAAAACAAATATTTCACTATGTATCATTAAATATAGAGTTTGATCGGTATTTCATTTCATAGTTTTAAGGATAGAACTGGTGCATACAAAGGAGAAAAGCCAATAGCCTAAGTAACAACCAATTCCTAAGGTATAAAATCCAGTCTGCACCCTCTCCTAGGATTGCTACACAACACTAAGCCTCTGCAACAAGCCTGAAGGTTTTCAAGTACGTGGCAAAGGGGCCTCAGGTTTTCTCAGTTACCTATCTATCAGCTTCGATCCAGAGTCCACTAGTAGGCTTTCACAAAGGATGGGAACCTTCTCTCCTGCTACCTCCCTATATTCACAGACGGAAAAGAAACTGCTAAAAACTAACAAAGAAAAACCCAAGCAAAGAACTTAAACCTTGTTAAATGATAATTATGATTACTACGGCCACTTAGAGGAAAAAGTCAGGAGACAGAGGACAAAGAAAGAGGATGAGGTCACAAACCATATAATAACACACGGGAGGAAAAGGAAGATATATAGAATAACACAGACAAAGGCTTATTCTCCTTTGGTCAGACACCCTCATTTGGTAATATGAAAAAAATAGTCATGGAAGTCATTTAAAATCTGTATTACACTCTCAAGGTCAGGGTCTTGGCTAATTTACTTGTCAATTCTTGCACCTATGACTATGTCCATGGACATGCACATAACCTCAAGGCTTGCTCAGTGTTCACAGAATGAAAGCAAATCAAGTGTCTGGTGGTACCAGTCCTAGGGATCACACATGGTTGAGACTGGGTTAACAGTTAACAAGTGCAGCACAGGGCTTGGGATGTAGCCCAGTGGTAGTGGAGTACTTGTTTAGAATGTACCAGGCTCTGGGTCTGATATCCAGCACTGCAAAAAAGAAAACAAAACAAAACAAAAAAAAAAAACAAAAAAACCCGTAACTGCAGCACAGAGCCTGTCACAAAGCATGTGGGGAAAGGAGGACCCTGCTGTCAGTCATCTAAGACTCGTACTGAGACCTGAAGACACCACTGTTAACAAGAGTTCCTTGTTTTTGTAACTGGTGAACAAGACAGGAAACAAGTGAGAAGACAGGAGAAATTACCTATTGTAGTAGGTGAGATTGGAAACTACTATGACCAAATTTTTTTAATTTTATTTTTCAATCTTTTTGTGCAGGATTTAATGTCATTCTTCACAGGTCTGTTACTCTGCTTATCCCACATTCACTAAGTTTCATACTAAAGGAATGACAAAATGTTATGCTTTTCAAGGTTCTGATTCCTATCAACACATCTCAACTAGGCAAAAAGTAAAGTAGGTAACAATCTCTAGATGGCTAACTCACTAATTTACATTTAATCTTCATTTCACTCAAAAAAACTCAAGTTCCGTTAGAAATGGGAATGATTCTACCACCTGTAATTGCCATTATTTTTAACAATCAAATTACTATAAATTGTATATAAGCTAAAAATGCATACTGTGAGAAAATCCTGCTCAAATTTGTATGCTCCACCTCCAGTGGCACAAAAGACAGTGTGGAGACTCGAGAAGTTTTTATCTCTGCCCATCTGAATAAAAGCAGGCATGTCATGAGTGGGAAAGCGTATAAAGTGCAGATTGCCTTTGCGTCCACACAGAGTCAGGTCCTTCAGCTCGAGGTGCACGTCCCGAATTCCCGTGGACCCATAAGCCACGTTGGAGGTCAGGTACTTCCGAATGCTTTTAAGACTCTCCACTTCCTCCTCCTCTTCTTCAGCAGTGATGTCTTTGGGTTCAAAATAAACCAGCTTGACCAAGGTTCCACCAATATCCAAGCCAAACCACGGAAAAACTAAATGGGGAAGAAAAAAAAAAGTCAGAACAGCTTTTTTCTAAAATTAAGTTTATACTTACTAATTTGGCAACTAATTTCACACCCTGTGGTTTCCAAGGAATATAATTCTAAACAAAAAGGTTCAGAGGAGAAGAAATGAATTCTCTCTCATTTGGGAAAAACTAGGATTAAAAATAAAAATATCAAAATACTGAACCAACCCAATCTTTCTGTACAGACAAGCCCAAACTGAACTATGAAATATTTTTTAAAATAACAAAATAATTTTCAGATAGTCTGAGTCTTGAAAACAAAGCTTGAGAATGAAAATATTCAATCTTTTCACTGGCTCAAAGAAGAAATGTCACTACTTTAGAGCTCTGGTTTAGTACTGAAACTAGAGCTAGAGGAAATTCCCAGCCATACCTAGTAAGTAATCTCCAGTGGTCAATTCTCTCAAAATCTGGCCAGGGACTAGCTCAGTTGTAGAGTGCTTACCTAGCGTACATAAGGCCCTGGGCTCAATCTCTATTACCATAAAAAAATAACAACAAAAATATTTCACTGGACTTTATGCAAGATGGACTACACAAACATATGTGCTTTCCTCTCCCACCGCAAGTTCTAGAAATGGCTAGAAACAAGGATTTACTAACATACTCTTTCCAAAAATAATTCTAAGACACAAGAAGTGTTATTACCAGAACTAGGGTGATAGGCAAGTATCTATCCAGAATCATCAAAAGATGAATGCTAGCGAGGCGCTAGTGGCTCACACCTGGAATCCTAGCTACTCAGGAGGCACAGATCAAGAGGGCTGAGGTTCAAAGCCAGCCCAGGCAAATAGTTCCGCAAGACCTCATCTCAAAAAACCCTTCACAAAAACAGGGCTGGTGGAACAGCTCAAAGTGAAGGCCCTTAGTTCAAGCCCCAGTACCACAAAAAAAAAAAAAAAAAAGAATGCTATTAAAGGTAGGAGCAGCTATGAAAGTGGGAGAGCAAGTAAGGATGTTCTACCGAAGCTGCAGACAGGAGTGGCTGCTCTGAGGAAACAGGAGCAGGCTCTGGCAGTCATGGGTGATGTGGTTGGAAAATGCATTTGGTGCACTGGACAGGCTACCCACTTCCCTGTACCAAGAACACTTCCTACCTCCACCCCCACAGAAGAGAAACTCTTCGCTAAGTACAGCACTGCGGCCCCAGAATTAGGATGGCATCTGGGTGACTACTACCCAGAATAAATGGGAAGCCCGCATGCCTGACCATACACACATCCCATGTTCCCCTCAGTCCAGACGGTAAACAGAAACTGCATCTACTGACAGATGAATAGCAATTTTCAAACTAGTGTATAAACTAGAATCACCAAGGGGGAAAACAACACCACAAAAATGGGAAACTAAATATTTGATCAAAGAGTTGTAGGAACAACCAGAAGACACATAAATGCCCTCAGACATAAAATAAGATGTCAATCATAGAAAAGAAAATCAGAAATTAAAAAAAAGGACTGCCAGCCGGTGCTATGGCTCACACCTGTAATCCTAACTACTTGGGAGACCAAGATCAGAAGGATCATGGATTAAAGCCAGCCTGGGTAAATAATTCATGAAACCCCATCTCCAAAATAACCAGAGTAAAATGGACTAGAGTTGTGGCTCACACAGTAGGGCTACTGTTTTGCAAGCACAAAACCCAGAGTTCAAACCCCAATCCCACAAAAAAAAATTATACAGAACTAAGTACACAAAAGTGTATAAAACTAATTCAATTTAAATAAAATTTGTCCAAGTTAATTTCCAAGTTGTGGGAAAAATTTTCAAATCCTCCCAAAAAGAACAAACTACCACACTTACCAGGCGTGAATCTTGAGAACAGGCTGAATAACTGTATATAAACATTTATATAAACCTCTAGAAAATGAAAACGAACCACCTCTTCTTCTGAGAGCCAATCAAAGGTTAGGGAAGAAAGGGAAGGACAGACTGCACAGAAACAGAAAAACACCACTGGTGGTGAACCAAGTGGGAGGGTGTGTGTGTGTGTGTGTGTGTGTGTGTGTGTGTGTGTACACACACTGGTGGTGAACCAAGTGGGAGGGTGTGTGTGTGTGTGTGTGTGTGTGTGTGTGTGTGTGTACACACACTGGTGGTGAACCAAGTGGGAGGGGGTGTGTGTGTGTGTGTGTGTGTGTGTACACACACTGGTGGTGAACCAAGTGGGAGGGGGTGTGTGTGTGTGTGTGTGTGTACCACACTGGTGTAACCAAGTGGGAGGGTGTGTGTGTGTGTGTGTGTGTGTGTGTGTGTACACCAAGTGGGAAGGTGGGGGGGGGTGGGGGTGGGTGTGGGTGGGTGGGTGGGTGGGTGTGTGTACACACCAAGTGGGAAGGTGGGGTGTGTGTGTGTGTGTGTGTGTGTGTGTGTGTGTGTGTGTTTCAAAATGCATGGAACTGTTGGGTGTGGTAGCCAACATCTGTAATCCCAGCACTCAAGAAGCTGAGGCAGGAGGATGGAAAGTTTGGGGCCAGCCTGAGCTGCATAACATGTTCAAGGCCTGCCTGGGCTACATAGAGACCCTGTCTCAAAAAAAAGAAAAGCATGAAATTATACACTTTCGATGGATACAGGTATGTAAATTATACCTCAATAAGCAAACTTTTTATAAAGGAAAGAAAAAAAAAGTGTTAAAATAAAGCACTGGTGGCTCACACCTGTAATCCGAGTTATTTGGGAGGCAGAGATATCAAGAGGCTCAAGGTTCAAGGCCAGACCAGGTAAAAAGCAAGATCCTATCTCAAAAACAATCAACAGGAAAAGTAGGGCTACTGGAATAACAAGTGGTAGAGCACCTGCCTAGCATGTATGGGGCCCTGCATTCAAACCCCAGCTCTGCCAAAAAAAATAAAATAAAATAAAAATTTTAAACAAAGCTCAGAGATGGATTTAACAGTAAAAGGGTGTTCGTGCACATGCGCACAAACAAAAAGGAAAACATAACTAAGGAATTCTCCCAGAATGCCTCTTACGTATGAAGGAAAGGTAGACCCACAGAATAAAGAACCAGTAAATCCAATGTCTATTTATACAAGTTCTAGAAATTTCCTGGGGGAGAGAGAGGACATGAATTATCAGGTTGAAACCCTTAGCATTAGAATCAATTAGTGGAGAAGGGTAAGACCTAAACACATCCTACTGAAATTTCAGGAAATCCTGTTCCTACAAAGATACATAAATCACATAAATAGCAGACTTTCATCAACACAGATGCTAGATGACAATGGAGCACTGGTTCAAAGTTATAAGGAAAAAGATCTGGAAACTTTTATCTGGACAAACCACCTTTCAAGAGGCTGGTTTCAAGGGGCTTGGCAAGGTGTCTCAAGCAGTACAGCACCTGCCTAGCAAGGCTTAGTTCAAACCTAAGTACCCTCCCCAAAAAAAAGGGGGGGGGGACTCAAAAGAAACCTTCACATATAAAAGAGCTCAATTTTTATTACTTTTTTTGTTTGTTTTTTGTAGCATCAGGGTTTGAACTGAGGGCCTCATGCTTGCTAGACGAGTGCTCCTACCACTTGAGCCATTCCACCAGCCCAACTTTTAGTACTTGAAGACCTTTCCTGAATTAGTAGATGTACACCAACATAATTTAAAAATATCCAAGAGCTTTAAGAAATTTTTTTATATACAAGTGATAAGCAGAGGAACAAATACATGCTGACATTAAGAAAAATAAGCACCCTGGAACTAAAATACTTACATGATTTCAACATAGGAAGTCGAAGAGGAAGAGAAAGGAGAAGGAAGTGAAAGTAAGCAGCACTTCTGTCTTGTTGGGAAAAGGGAGAAAAGATAAAGATTCTGATTAATTAAGAGACAAGAACAGAGAAGTGATGGTTTAAATGTGTTAAAAATAAAAATGTACAGGTTAACTACAGAATAGAAAAACAGGAATTTTCAAAGAATTAACTACAGATAACAACAGTGTATTATATTTTGGGGGGGAGTGGTTTGCTGGGGATGGGACCCAGGGTCTCACACATGGTAAGCACACACTCTACCACTTAGCTACACCCCAACCCTAAAGGATTTAAAGAGTTTTCACCAGAGAGAAATCACAATTATTTGAGGATGAGGAGATAGATGTTTCAGGGAAAAAGGAACCTTCTTATACTGCTGGTGGGAATGTAAACTAGTACAACCACTCTGGAAAAAAATTTGGAGGCTACTTAAAAAGCTAAACATTGATCTACCATATGATCCAGCAATACCACTCTTGGGGATATACCCAAAAGACTATGACACAGGTTACTCCAGAGGCACCTGCACACCCATGTTTATTGCAACACTATTCACAATCGTCAAGTTATGGAAACAGCCAAGATGCCCCACTACTGACGAATGGATCAAGAAAATGTGGTATCTATACACAATGGAATTTTATGCAGCCATGAAGAAGAACTGTTACCATTCACTGGTAAATGGATGGAATTGGCGAAGTGAGTGAGGTTAGCCTGGCCCAAAAGACGAAAAATCGTACGTTCTCCCTTATATGTGGACATTAGATCAAGGGCAAACACAACAAGGGGATTGGACTTTGAGCACATGATAAAAGGGAGAGCACACAAGGGAGGGGTGAGGATAGGTAAGACACCTAAAAAATTAGCTAGCATTTGTTGCCCTCAACGCAGAGAAACTAAAGCAGGTACCTTAAAAGCAACTGAGGCCAATAGGAGAAGGGGACCAGGAACTAGAGAAAAGGTTAGATCAAAAAGAATTAACCTAGAAGGTAACACACATGCACAGGAAATTAATGTGAGTCAACTCCCTGCATAGCTATCCTTATCTCAACTAGCAAAAACCCTTGTTCCTTCCTATTATTGCTTATACTCCCTCTTCAACAAAATTAGAGATAAGGGCAAAATAGTTTCTGCCGGGTATCGAGGGGGTGGGGGGGAGAGGGAGGGGGCAGAGTGGGTGGTAAGGGAGGGGGTGGGGGCAGGGGGGAGAAATGACCCAAGCATTGTATGCACATATGAATAATAAAACAATAAAAATTTTTTAAAATAAATAAATAAAAATTAAAGTGCAAAGGAGTCCAACAGCCAAAAAAGGTAAAGGTGAGTAAGACTCAAACCCAAGTCTCCTGAGCCCTATAACAAGTACATTTCAGCAATTATCTATACAAATGCAACAACACAAAACACATATTCTTGGTCAAAACCAAAAAATTAAAACGCAGTTTAATAAAATTCATATACTCTAATAACTAAAGAAAATCAACAAGCATCAGGAAACACAAGAGTCTGAGCAAAGAGAGCAGCACAGTTCATCAGCCTTGTTTTTTTGGTTTAGGTTTTGTTTGTGATACTGGGGTTTGAACTCAGGGGTTCAAGCTTGCTAGGTAAGCCCTCCCTTGTTATAATCCTTTAATGATTCTTCTTACTACTGATAGGATCATTTGCATATCCAAGAACTGGGAGGCACTGAGTTGCATGAAGGTTCATCAGCTGTTAACTGAGGAAAATAGCTGAAAGGTGGGGGAATTGTTTGAGGACATGCAATTATGTTATTTCTAAACATACAGCCTGTGCAAAGGGGCTTAAGATTCCTCTCATAAACTGTAACTTCATGAATACTGAAATAATCCTTCCAATTCTTATCCAAAACATTATGTGCTCCAGGTAGGAAGTCATGGAAAAAGGAGCTCTTGCTACAACATCACATCCCTCTCACCTCCCCTGCTAAGAAAAAGCCTCCACTTCTAATAGTAAGCACTTCACTATTTTTTTCACAGCCCTTAGCATATGTACTGATACTAATACCTCAGGAGTACCCAAACCTAAGCAATCTGTTCTTGAAGACACAATTCTAGAGAGAATTTAAACTCTCACGTAGATTATTTACATAAAACTACCTTTAGCACAGTTTCCCTCACTTACTAGATCTCAATGACAGACTGCTTTCATTTCTTCTAATGGAAAATAGGGTGTTTATGAAAGTGTGCTCAATTTAACAATGCTCTGAACTGCATATGAGGTTAAAATACTGCAAGATCTTAGCCTCACATTGAAATTTGTACTTTAGTAATTATTATTCTTCTCTCAAAATAGTTTTAAATTCAGGGACTGGATATTCATAAAATGATGTCTTATAAACAGCAGACTCAATAAATGCTACATTTATTATAACAAACATAAACATAGTAACACTACTGAAAAACTAAGACTGCTTTCATTTTTAGGAAGCAAATTTTAAGCCATAATTTAGAAAAGGGAGGTTTCATATCCTAGTCAGTCTTACTGACATAAACTGAGAACAATGCCTAAAGACAAAGATACTTTATTATGAACCTAAATGCTCAGTTAAAGTACAACAACAGTCACTGCTTTTTTAAATGACCAACTAAAACAGCCATTCTTTCGGCTGCCTGATAAGATCCTTTCCAATGGCCTACAGACAGCTGTCTTATTCCTTCTCTCTCCTTTATAACAAGTGTTAAATCATAAAAAATAAATTTAAATGGCAGGCAGTTCTGGGGTTTGAACTCCTGGCTTTAGGCTTGCTAGGCAGGAACGCTATCACTTGAACCATACCCTCAGCCCGCTATACCTCCTATGCAGCTAGGACCACAGGCTCAAGACACTACACCCAGCTCACTGGTTGAGATGAGTTTTCACTAACTTTTTTGGTCCTGGGTGGCATCTGCAGGATGTGACAACACTGAACCCCCATATTATCTAAACACATGATTCATACAGTCATAAAACAATATACTGTACAACTTTACATTGCTATGTAAGGACTACTTTTAGGCCCTGCTTAATCCTTGTTTGTCGTATATCCAAGATGAAGGGCTGTATTTACTTTGGTTCATTTAGAGTTAAAGGTAGTAAAACAGGGGCAAGGAGTGTAGCCCTGGGTCTAATGAGGGGTGGGCTGGGAGGCTGCATAGTATAAGGCCATCTGGGAGGCATGGCTCAAGTGGTAGAGTATCTACAAAGCCAAGTTTAAGGCTCTGAATTCAAACTCCTGTTCTGGGGGGAAAAAAAAAGAAAGAAAAAAGGAAGTTTAGGCCAAAGCACCTTCTTCCATTCTGTCTCTCAAAAATGAGCTACCAAGCTACAGAAAACCAACCTCTTTCCGTAACTGCAGGTGAAATGCTGAGTCGACCTCCCCAGTCAGACTCACCCAGTCTCACACAGTGCCAGTACCATTTCCATTCTGCCAACACTGATGCTCCACTGAAAGCCAAGGGAAAGAAACCTCTTTTCTAGGTTAGTACTGACAAACTACAAACAAAAGCTTTATTTTCTAAACTAATGAAGGTTAAGGATATCCCGTGATTGGCATGAATCCAAAATCAAGTCCCAAAGACCTCCCAGGTGTGTTATAACAGACTTCTTCAAAGAACCAGCTTGTCCCTGGTGCTGCAGTGGAACAAAGAATCCCAGGGTTCTCACATCTCCTGCACATCTGCCATACATCTGGGGCCCTTGATAAAAATGTGTTCTCTTATGTATACATTTTGTCAAAAGTGCCATTTTATTGTACGTAATTATGCCTCAGTAAAAAAAAAAAAAAATTTTTTTTAGCAGTGCTAGGAATGAAACCCGGTCTACTAGGTAGGCACTCTACCACTGAGCTATATATCCCCAGCACAAATTTTAAAAATAATTTTAGACCCTTCTGTATGCAACAGGAATTGGGTGGGTGAGGGACATAGTTAACTTCTCAGAATTACATCACATGTGCCTTCCCCATCCCAAAATAGGGACCAAGAAAGCTGGATATAGGATTGTGGTTCCACGCCCACCCAGGCAAATAGTCTGTGAGACCCTGTCTCGATAATACCCAACACAAAAAAGGGCTGGTAGAGTGGCTCAAGTAGCAGGGTGCCTGCCGAGCTAAAGTGAGGTCCTGAGTTTACACCCCAGTACTGAAGAAAAAAAAAAAAAATCAGACCTAAAATCAGACATCTAAAATCAAAACCGAGTTCCCAGCTGGTAGAGTTCAGTGGTAAAGCACTTGTCCCAGCATAGCAAAAGGGAAAAGAAAAAACAAAAAGCTAATTCATTTCATGGTCTTGGACAAAGAGACACATTCACTGTGCCTAATTCCACATCTGGAAATTGGGGATTAAAAAAATTAACCTCACAGTGTTACAGTGAGACCTGAGTGAAATGTTTATAAAATACTTGGCACAGTGTGTAACAAGCAAGTAAGCACTCAGAAAATGGTAGCTATGTTATCATCTTTGTTTCCATCATTTTTTTTAATTTTACTGATTTATTTATTATGGTGCTGGGGATGGCACCCAGGGCCTCGCACTTGCTAGACAAGCACTCTACCAATTGAGCTGTTTCCTCAGCCCATGTTTCCATCATTTTCAACAAATCTTTATTTGGTATTTTCTCTCAGTCCTGATCCAAAACTTTTGAAGAACTTCTTATGCATGCACATGCCTAGCCCGATCCCTAATTATTCTGTGAATCCTGCTGCTCTACAGACACATGTGGCAGAACATAACTATTCACCAGTCACAAAAATTCCAAGAAAAAGTGAACAGCTCCTTCTAGTTTCAAATGACCACTGGTTTCCTAATACCAAATAAAAGGTCACAATAAACACAGATTTAGTCCTCACTGAATTCTCTGAGTTAAAACTAGTATACTCTTGGAGGGTTCAGCAGCAACAAGCTGCCGCTCCATCTAACAGGTGCAAATAAATGGAAGCGCAACACCCATCTGAAGCCAGCATCTACCTCTATAATCCTAGCACTTAGGAGGCAGAGGCAGGAGGATCAAAAGTCTGAGACCAGCTGGGGATATACAGCAGGAGGGGAGGAAGGAAAGAAGGGAGGGAGGGAGGGAGGGAAGAAGTTAAGTTAGTTTGTTTTGTGTCTTTAGCAGGTCTCCTTACCTAAAACATGGCTTTTCATGATTTATCAGTCAGACAGGGAATACAATGAAGGGGAACACAACCAATATCAGACAATAAATCTTACATTCAACATGAACATTTGTCTTAGTTCCTTGAAAGAAGTTCTGAAACCACCATACTATAATCCTATCCTCAAACTGTCCAAACCAGTGTTCTCCAGAGTGGTCTTTGAGTTACCTGGATCTGAATAAGGAACTTGCCATTTGATGCTGAGCAAAGATGCACCAGTTTTCTCACTTGCAAAACGGAATACTACCACCCACCTCAGAGCTGGGGGGCTAATGAGTTGTAAGTTCTTAGCAAGCAAACACCAAAAATGTAAGGCTTAAAATCTTTGTAGCCAATGGTCATGAACAGCTATCTATGCCGCTAATTCTGCTTTTTCTTTGGTGGGACCGGAGTTTGAACTCAGGGCTTATAGCTTGAGCCACACCACTGATTCTTGCTTGCTGAATCTCTGGAATTTACACTCATATCCAACAATGTACAAAATCATGAAGAACCAATGTTTTGCATTGCTTAAAAGTCAAGTGCCTCTCAGATAAAACATAAATCAAATAACTATGACTCTGAAAACGGAATAGTTTGAGAATCTGACTTCCAGACCTTTTTTTCCCCAAGGACAGGGTCTGGCTGTGTAACCCAAACTGGCCTCAAACTCACAATCCTTGATCCTCCTACCTCTGCTGAGATTACCAAATCTCTTACAAGATGGGGAAAGACAAAGGAATTGAAAGCTCCCAAACTTTCCACAGTAAAACGGAACATTTAATCGTCCAAATTATAGATGATGAAATCATGTGGGTGACTGGGCTAGGGTACAGACATCAATACAGATCTTACACACATGCCACCACTTTCATTCACTTCACGACCTGCATTTAAGCAAGTCGATTTCCTCAAACAGGAATTTGGCAATCACCGCGTCTACCCGTATGTAAAACGCAACTACACTGTAAAGCTCGTATTACAGTATAAGGACAAATGATACTTTCAACAGTAGCCATTGCTGTGAGACAGCGGTCCTGAACTGAAGACCTGTAAAAGGGGGGGGGGGGGGACACACAATCCAGAAAAAGAAACTGGTAATAAGAGAAAAACCGATTCTCGAGAAGAACAAGAGCAACTCCCAAGGCAAAATTGACAAATATGTCGTTTTTTCCTCAAAACAAAAAGCCTTAATACTCGGAATGCTTACAACGCTGAATCTTGAGTACCTGAAAATAGACGGAAGGAAATCAGAGGAAATATCTGGGTGTGAGATGACCTGAATTCTCGTGGGAAGAAAAGGAGCCAAAGCTTAGAGGTGCATGGAACACGGAACCCAGAGGGATGGTTTTCCAGTAATCCGAAACAGGTAGATAAAAAGGACTTGTCGCGTTGGAGAGCAATAGGGAATTCAAAGGATCTGGGGGGAAGGGAAGCGAGACATGGAAATGGGTCCAAAGAAGCCTTCTCCAGTATGAAATCATGTGACTCTTGGAAACGGCCCCCAGGACCTGAGGGAGGAAGGGTCTTGGCACTACAACAACCGGGGAGCGCAGACCAATGGCCGCGAGGGCCAAGCCGGGGCGGAACTCCGAAAAGCAACGAGCTGAGGGAGCCGTGGTATCCAGCCAGGCGTCGAGGCCACGCACCAACGTGGGACCACCGTACGGGGGCAGTGTCCGCGCGAGGGAAAAACGGCGGCCCGGCCGGAAGGGGGGCAGGGCGAGCCGCAGGGCGCCCCGCGGGGCACTTACGAGGCCGCTTTTTCCGGAGACTTTCGACGCGCTGGCGGGAAACTGGGGCAGGGCCGCTGTAGGAACCGGGCCGGTCCCGCCTCACATCCTCCGCAGAGGCTCCAGCCTCGGGTGCCGACGCCCCAACCTCGGGTGCCGACGCGCTGCTCGCCCGGCGCCGCAGTGGCTCCCGCCGCCGCCCATCGGAGACCCCAGACGCCGGCTCCGCGACCGACGAGGCTGAGGTGGCGGCGGCTCTGCCATGGCGCTCCATAGGCGCACCGAGCCGGCCCGCTCCCATCCGCAGCAGCCACCGCTGCCGCCCGAGCCAGCCCCCCAGCGCCGGACTCCTCTTCGCCTCCTCCGCGGTAGTCCAGCACGAGCAGAGGCGCACCCTCGACCGGCCGCCTCTTCCGTTGCGCCAACGTGCAGCAAGCCAATCCGAGCAGGCTGGGGGCCGCCCTTAGGCCTCTTGTCCAATAGGTTCCTTGACTCGAGGCGGATCGACCGCGCCTCCACCCAATGAGAAGCTTCCAAGCCCGGGCGGGTAGAGGGTGGCGGAGGAGGGGAGAATCTCGGTTCTGGGGAGGAGAAGGCAGTGTCGCCTAGGGGAGAGTGATGGCGGCGCCGCCCAATAGATGCGTGGGGGGAGGGACCCCGCGTCCCCTTTTTCTTCCCCACCCGCCCCCACGGGTGGTCAGGTCGATGCCCTTGGTCCTCGGAACTCTCCCGGGACACCCCCGAGTTCCGCCCCGCTACTCCGTACCAACCACTCCTGGCTCGTGCCCTCCTCCAGCACTGCTGAGCCCCCAAAGCGGCTGGCCGCCTGTTGTGGGCCCACAGAAGGGATTGAACTGCAGCTGACCTTAGCCTTTGTCCCTCGGCCTGGTTTCGCAGCTGCCGTCTAGGCCGCAGGCCCTCCCCCAATGCGTATGGGCTAAACCCCCTCCATTCCGCCTGCGCTGGAGAGATGTTCCTAGTACCAGAAGGAATGAAAGGACTGGGGTTGGTCTCCATGGCAACTGGAAGAAGGAGGTGGGTTATAAATCCTTCGCCACCCTCCTGTGGTGAAGGAGGGGGTTTGAGAGCCAGGAAACTGGGTTCGCTTTTTGAAGGAGCCCCGGAGCCCCTTTTGTGTGGTGTTTTGGGGGCACAAAAGGATTTGGCTGACGTCTTGAAGCCTGGATTTTTTTTTTTTTAATCATCTTTAAGGAGAGAGAAAATGGTCAACTATAGCCCAGAGACCCCGTGTCTCATCTACCAAAGGTCCTTCCAAGCATCCCTTCTACGGCTGCCCAAGCTTAGAATGATCCCACGCAGCTTTGTACCCCTAAGGCACTCCTTGTCTACTGATTACTTCATATGGGCTTCTTCCCCTGGGAGACTGTAATGTCCCTTGAGTGATAGCCCACTTTTCCTCAACTCCCCACTCCTGACTGGTAGTAGCAGGCTGAACAGGAAAGTTGTGCTTCTCTTGTGCTTGTTGAAAAGAATTCCCATGCCCTCTCCAAACTAGCGCTCCACGATGTAGGAGTAACTCTGAAACCCAACTTCCTAACTCGAAATTCCAGCTTCTGCAAGAACCAAAAACAGCTGCAACAGCTACTCTTCTAAGTCTCAGTGCTCAACGTTGCCTACATTTTTGCCCCTGCCCTGGGGAAAATGTGGGTCTTCCCTGACCCATAGGGACTTCCATCCAAGTCTGTGGAAAAAGAATCATGAATCGCCATCACGGGCATCTCTTGTTTGCCAACATGCACTCCAACGTCAGGACTCCACCAGGAATCTGCAATCTGCATAGTGTTTTTTACAGTTCTACGTGTCTTTACATATAAAAACTCATAGCTTTATTTATAAATGTATATATGTGTAAAGAAAAAAACAAATGCAGAGCCTGGACTCCTGAAAAGTTTGGCTCGTGTGTAATTACAGCACTCTTGAGTCTGAGGCAAGAGGATCGGGACTTCTAGGCTAGCCTGGACTACATAGTGAGTCCCTGACTCAATTTAAAAAAAAAGGCACTGATTTAGTGAAATTCCAATAAATTGCTGAAAGATTTTTTTTTGGTGGAGTTTGAACACAGGACTTTGCATTTGAGCGCTACCATTTGAGCCACACATCCAATCCATTTTACTCTGGTTATTTCGGAAACGGGGGTTTCAAAAACTATTTGCCCCATCTGGCCTCAAATCTCGATCCTCCCAAGTAGCTAGGATTACAGGTGTAAGCCTGTTATGCCTAGCTTGAAAGGCTTTCCTTAATTACATATAACTTTAGCATATTTGTGAATTTAGTGGCAGTCACTATCATTAAACTAGCCTAAAATAATAGATCAAGCATATACTAGTGATAACTAGACAAAATGTTTATAATCCTAGATCAGAAATGCAAATAAGTTGAGCAAAAGAGATCAGACACAAAATACATATTGTATGATTCTGTTTATATCAATTTCAGAAGTTGGGTTTGGAGCTCAGTGCTAGAGTGCTTGCCTAGCATGGTCAAAACCAAAACCTAAGTTTTGATCCCCAGCACCACAATAAATAAATATATTAGATACAACATTAGTAGAAGTAGAAGTGAGGATGATGGTTGCTTTTGGGAAAAGGGAGGGAGAAGTGATGAAAGGCTTCTAAGAGACTGGTAATGTTTCTTTGATCCGGGTAGTTGTTACTGTGTAATAGTTTATCAAGATGTTCACTTACAATTTATGCACTTTTCTGTATGCATGTTGTACTTAAAACATTTATTTTTAAAAAGAGAAAGTGAATTGCCTGGGAGCAAAGTAAGATAAACCCATGATTAAGTTTAAGAGTATTTTTATGTTCAAAAAGTGAAATGAAAGCAGCAATTAAGAAGTTTCCTTTCTCTGTGGTTATAATAGCTTTTTTAAAGAGAGATCATTATTAAGTTCTTTACCAGTTATAGCCACCCTCAGGAGAAACTGATTTTCTGGTGTATGAGCAGCACAAGGAACTTGGTAAGCATAACGATTCAGAGGAACTACCCAGACTGTAAAAGAAATGACTTACAAATCTAGAACCATTTCTGGGATCAAACAGCATACAAAATACTCATTTACCATATTAATTACCTATTGCTAGGTAAAAAATAAGCCCAAACTTTAGCTTAAGTTGTAATAAATACTGAGGTATGGTCTCAGTTTCTTTGAGTCAAGAAATTAGGAGTGACTTGGCTGGGAAGTTCTGGCTCAGGGTCTTTCAACCAATTTCAATCAATTGAAGATATAAGGGGCTGGAGAATCCTGCCTGGTTGTCACTGGCAAATTGGTGCTGGCTATTGGCAGGTCTCAGTTCACAAAACCTCCTCCCTGGGGTTGCTTGAATGTCCTTACAACATTGCTTCTGGTTTCCCCCAGAGCTAGTGATCTGTGAGAAAATAAAGCAGAAGTTGAAATGTCTTTTATGACCTAGCCTGGGAAGTCATATGTACTCCATCATTTGTGCAATGTTCTATTAATACACAGGTCAGATCTATGCTATGTGGGTTGGTACTACAGAAGTATGTAAATATCAGGAGAGAGAGAACCTTTGGGTTCTTGGAGCCCACAAGCCCACTGGCCCCTGGTGATTCACATCTTCATCTCTTTTTCTACCATCAAGTGCCATCAAGACCCTCTCTGAATTTCTATTGAGTTTTCCTTCCACTAAAATAAAACATCACTGGTATATTAGTTACTTTTGTGTAGCTATGACCAAAATACATGAGAGAACAACTTAAAGGAGGAAGAATTTTTTTTTTTTGAGATAGGGTGTTGCTCTGTAGCCCAGACTAGCCTCAAACTCACGATCCTCTTATCTCAGCCTTCCAAGTGCTGGGATTACAGGTATGAGCCACCATGCCTGACTTGAAGAAGGATTTATTTTGCTCAGGTTTCATAGGGTTCAGTTCATGGTTGCTTGGCTCCCTGTGCTTGAGCAGTGGTGGGAATGTGTGGCAGAGGAGGTTCTTCACCTTGAGGTAACGAGGAAGCAAAGAGCAGGGACTGGGGACTAGGTAATAACTTTCAAAGGCATACCCACAGTGACCTACTTCCTCCAACTAGGCCCCACCTTCTGTTTCCAAAATCTCACAAAACCGCACCAGTAGCTAGTGACCAATCATTGAGCACATGAGCCCACAAAGAGACATTTCATATTCAAACAATTGGAGAGTAAAAATGAGAAGTGCATGCAACAGAAGCTTAACACACCAAATTCTCCTTTCACTGGGATCCCTCAGTTCCAGGAGCAGAACTCTTTTAAGCCAAGGCCCAATGGTATGAGGAACTTGGGAAAGCATTACCTACTTACTGTTTCAGAGGACAAGATTTGAAGAACAAGTTTTTAAACCCCTACATGCTCTTCCAAGGCCTGGCTCCTGGCCCGGAGTCCACTACTGAAAAGGGCTGCTCTAATACCACCAAAAAAAGAAGAAAATATCAGTCTGCGTCTTTCCAACCCCGACCCCATCAGGCACTTCTTTCAAAATCTGAAGAGGGATAGAAATGTGTTCTTTGAATACGCAAACACACACACACACACACACACATACGCACACACACACACACACAGAGTATGGCTAGCATATGACATTCTGGTGGCCTCACCACAGCTTGCAAGCAATGTGAAGGCATCAACTACTTTCTTTCACACACACACACACACACACAAATGAGAATAGAGAAAGAAAATTAAAGATGAAATATGATGAATTTAGAACAACTTAGAATTTCCTAGCTATGGATGATCATACCCCTTCCCAAGTTCTGAAAAAGTTGAACAATCAAGGCCTAGCCTATCTCTTGACTAAACAACCCTGATTGGGATACAGTGAATTGCTAGATAACCACAGTAATCTCTTGCTTTAATAGTTGTTACAAAGAAGCGATGGTGTTCAAATAACAGATAAACTTATGCTGTAGGGCTTCTCCAAGAGGAAGCTGGGGTGTATATGGTATGTAGCTATCTTACAAATGTAATTGACCATGAAACTCTTCACAGAACTTCTTATTCCCCAGAACACATTTTTGAGAAATTCATCTCTGAACATAAAGTCACTTGCCTGTTATATTAAAGGCAATAAGAAACTGGTTCTTTCCATTTTGGAATTTTGATTGTTGGTATTATTTTCATTCCCAAATAAGCCTATTTGTTAGAGTTATCTGTTCTGAAAACAAGTTGGTCTTCATTTCTGTAAACAATTCCACTTTCCCACTTTCCTTGTCTTACTGGTGGCACCTTTATGTTGCTGTGACTTGATTCTTCCTTTCATTTGCTTGAATCCAGTACTGTTCAAGAGAAATACAATATAAACCACATGGCATGGCTTAAAATGCTTCTGTAACCACACTTTAAAAGGTAAAAATG